CCTGCGAGGCTGAGCCATGCCACCCGACTGGATTCAATTCAATTCATTCTTCCCGCCTACATCGTTGGGCTTTTCTCCGCGTTAAGTGTTGAATGTCTATCTTTTCCAGTTGTCCCGTGTTCAGCTCTGAGGATTGTGGTTAAGACCTAATGTCGTTGCACTACTCCCACACCAGAATTAACGTGACCTTGGTTCGACACCATATCGAGTGAGACTGCTGCGCGCTGGAGATTACCAAGAAAAATAAAAAGAATCCTCTGGGTTTTGATAAGCTGAAAGATAGATCAGGAAGAAAACTGCAGCAACTGATCAAGAAATACATGCAGCAATTTCAAAATGTTTGGCTTTATTTTTAACACGCGAAAAATAGAAATCCACGTGAAAATTTTATAGGAGTTGAACAAAGTGGGACTATAACAATTAAGAATGATTTCGTGTATGTATATTTTTAAATTGCCGTAAGATGCTCAGTAATAGCCGTTGGGTAATAACTAATAGGTAGTACAAGTATTTTGTATATAAATGTACGAAAACATAACCATTGTTTTGTCGGTGCTCATATCGGTATTACCTTTGGTTCAAATTGGAAGGTTCATTGACGTTTATATTGGCATGCTATCCATATGAATTGATTTACAATTGGATGTGCATTAGTAGGCTAACTGAAAGAACAAAAGTGTAACCGTGGAAAAGAAGAATCGCGACTAGTGTTACAGTTAGTTTGTTACGTTTGATAAGGCTTATTTAGTCATGGGGAGATTTTCTCGACCTCATTATTACTTAATAGTGATAGAATTTATTAATGCTACTAATACATGTGAATTATTATCAAAACACTTTTTAGTACGTGAAAAGTGATGATTATGTGAATTATAGACAGTTAGCTGAAATGAATTAGTTAAACACTAGTGTATTCATAAGAGACATGCCCTTGACTCAATATTACTTATATTCATATTCACCGACTGATGGTGCATACAAGTCAGCTGCAATTATCAAGTTTCACATAAGTTAGTTTGCATTTTAGGCAACTAATATGATAAGCCAATTCATAAACCCAAATGCGTATAGAAATAACGATTATGATGTTTTAGTTGAAAAAATGTTAAAGGCGATTCAAATGATTGTTAAATTTAAATGGCACAGATGATATAAAACGATGCATGTATAGGCTATGTTGACGTATGAGTCAATCTAGTTTTCGACAATTTAAAAAATCCTGAAAGTTGAGACGACTTGTGAAACCACAGTTAGGGTTATGATGAGCTATAATATAGACGTTTCATAAGAAGTAATCTTAGTGACACTTATAAACATGTGGCAAATGTAATTGAAACTAATAAATTTCAAATAATTTTTGAATCTAATATGTTTCGTCTGTAAACAACACACCTTCAGAGTAGTATGTTGTAATAAAAAGCTTCTAAATATTTCTTATACCAAAAAGGATTCGGGAGTGGTTCATACAAAATATATACGGCTAGTATAAGTGAAAATATATACAAGTTAAGAAGTATCGAAAAAGGTATAACATCGAACAAAAGAGACAAACTCGCTTGGATTACTTCTGTTATTTAGACTATTAAATAGATTTGACATATATAGGACCAGTTGTGACTAGTAGTAGAGATTTAAAAGCAACAAACTTAGACACGCAATATTCCAACTACTTCCTCAATGTATGTGATGCCATTGACTATGTTACTTGGTTGATTCAGAACAATTGAATGAGTCCAGACAATTTTGTGTCTGTCATCGTATGAACCATCTTAAATGACTTTGTGATTGCAGTAAATTTATAGCTTAAACGTACTGTAGGTTTCTGGAGAATTGGTTTCGTTACTTGGCTACGGAACTGGAAAATTGGACAGGCAGTGGTTGGAAGAAAAGATATTACAGGATAGTCATTAGTTTAAAAGAGTGACACGTTAAGTGAAGAAACAATATGAAGAATTAGAGTCAAATAACCACTCAGTCCTCGCTCACGTTTCTAGTCAATGTCCGTTTACGTCAATTAAAGGTTATATTTATTACAGCTTGATGATTTAACAAGTTTATTTCGCTGGAACACGTAAACCTTATTAAAGCTTGCAAATGAACCACCGTAGCGAATAAATAATATAGATGACCAGCTATTAGTATTGATTGAGCTAGTAAGTTGTGAGTACTAATCAATATAACATTACGACATTGCATGTGAGAATTAATCAGAGGACTAGTAGAATAACGGGTTAACATACGTAATAATCGATTGAGAAATTAAAGTGGAAATATACCTTAATAATGGGCTGCGTTTCTTTAGTCGGGCTTACCAATATAGAATTATGAACTACTATGGGTATTAGTACTGCCCTAATAATGGACTTAATCCTAAAATTGTAGATTTTTCATGATGTAACTGCCTTATCTATAAGATGAAGAAAACATTCAGACTGAAGTTAGAACAATATATTTATTATGAATAAAAGTGTGTTGACACTTGGTTTTTCTCTCAAATCTTCATGTGCGTAATTATGGGGGATGTTCGCAGTTACTTCGGTGTCTGAATTTAGTTCTTCAGATTGCGAATTGTCAGGTCTTGATGTTTTGCCATTCTTCATTTGTCTGATGACATGTCATATTGGTTTCTTCGATCGTTGGTAGAGTGACATCTGTACGGAGGTCTGTGTGTGGTGCTTTAACTTCCGGTGGGTTCAGTGAAGCTGGTCTATTCAGTTCTTCATAGTGTTCTGTCCACCTATGCCTCTGTTCTTGAATCTCACTGATCGTCAAGCATTCTTCGTCATTGACTGGTGTCTCTGATTTACTATATATCCCTGCTAGTTTCTCAGTTGTGTCGAACAGTTATTTCATAATTCTTTCTCCTGAAGCCTTTTCTGCTGTCGTTGCTAGCTCTTCAACTCGACTCTAATGCTGTTTTCCATATGTTTGTTTGTTTAATTGTATTCAGCTTGTTCCTTGACATTCTCTGTTCATGTTCGTCTGTTGTTAATTTTTGTCATCTTGTTCTACTTTCTTGAATCATATCAAGGGTTTCCACAGAGATCAATTCCTTATCCTTTGTTGATCCCTCTCCAATTATCCTCCATATTAGTTTTTTCTTCCTTCAGTAGATCGTGTAAGGCCTGGAACCTGCTGTTGAGAGTTATCTTGGATTCGTTGAACTTGTCAGTATATCGAAGGAGGACGGTATTAAACCTTTCAAATGCTGTTTATCCAGTTTTCCAATGCTTCTGTAACTTCAGTTTCATCTTGGCCACAACCAGAAGCTGCGTCAGCTCCTCTCACGTCCTCACGTCTTCCAATTTCCTTCTGAATTTTGTATTGATACAAATATGAACTATCTGGTTCTCGATTATGTGGTCCGGTGAGACTCATCTAAATTTGTGTATACGTTTGTGGGGAATGTTGTGCCGTCTATAATCAATTTGTTGAATGTACATAGGTTCATAATTCTCTGCCCATTTTCGTCCCTTTCTCCTAATCCATGTCGTCTCATGATATCTTCATATTTGGTGTTGTCCATTCCGACTTTGGCATTAAGATCTCCCAATATGATGGTGAGATCCTTTCCTGCGCACTTCGCTATGATTGATTGCATTCTCTAATACAACCGATCTTTACTGTCGTATTTGCTATCATTGGTGGGTGCATAATATTGAATAATATTCATTGTAGTACCCTCCATCTTTGTTTAGAAGGATGATCTGATCATTCTGGATACACGAGATTCATATCCTATATGTGGATTACGTGCTTATTTGGAGAGCATCAGAACAAATCCATGAGTATTTAGAGTATTTTCTTCTTCCTGACCGGAGTACAGAAGCACCTCTCCCATACCTAGCCTTTGCTGTCCAGCTTAAGTCCAATAAGTTCCTCTGAATACAAGTCCTGCCAATTTGTATCTGATCATTTATTTGATCGTTCCTCCTAGTGTTCCACATTGTCCGGATGTTCCATGTGCCTGTAAAAGTTGTTGCTCTGGTTGTTAAAAGAGACACTGACCTCATGACTTCCGAATATTATTGGCTTGCACTATGAAGCGTTATAATTCTTCTGAATAAAGATCCTTCAACTTGGAGGACAGGGTTTAGATGGTTTAATTTATTTATTCTGGTTAACGATTTTTAGTTATGTTTCATCCATGGGAATGTGAGTCCCCGAACTGATTTCGTGGTTCGCCATTGGATACGTTCTTAAGTGCCCTTATCCTTTTGCAGTGGGGGAGGAAATATTATGTTTTCACGCTCTAAATGAGGACGAATAAAACTGTTGAAGATTATGTGGAAATTTCTTCCGTCAAACTGGCCAAAAATGCGCTTCAATGTTACCAGTGCAATGTTTGCTCGAAAGATATTTTTGTCACAAATGGCGTAAAACTTCAAATCGCAGAGTACCAAAACTTCTTAATCTTTTTCAACTTCGAATATTTTAGATGGAAGTCGCTCAAGTTGTAGCTGTAGTGTGCAACATGTCACAGGTGGACTACTTTACACTTTGCAGTGTTAAAGGTAAATTCGTTATCATCTGCCCAAATTTGAAGTTCACTCAGATCCTCCTGAAGTGCCAGACTGTCCTCTTGATTGCGTATCTCTCTCCAAATTTTCACGTCATTATCAAAAAGTCTGACGATACCTGTTATGGTGGATCGTTTATATAAATCAAGAAGAGGTCCTAGTACCGAACCCTGGGTTCCTCGTACTGAACTTAGCCTTCAAGTATACTATCGACCTTAAGCACTTAAAATATATGGTGACCACCTCGAGATAAACCTCATAAAACCCCGTAAGCGAAGAAAGGTCATTTTAGTCCCAGATTTGCTTTAGTTTTGTACCATATATGTGTGAAACATTTTAAGACTGATGGTATTTCCTTAACTTTGATCAACATTGTCTTACGACAAACGACACGAAAAAATTTGTCATAATGTAACGAAAAATTTTTACCCCTATTTGAAGGTCGAAAGTGCTAAAATCCTCGTGGCGCTCCGATTAGTTAGTACATTAGAGCGCTGAGTATGAATTGTGACGGCTTTTTCGAGTTGGAGAAAAGTCGGATAGATTACCGCAGTTACAGGTAAGTTCAATAATTTTATTTGACGGCTGAAAAAGGTATATCGAATTAGACAATGGCCTGAGGGCTATATTGGTATCCAACCTAAAGCCTGGGGAAGAAGCACCCGATGACTCCTTGTCGGATTCAGATCTTGAAAGTAATAATTCGGAAAGCTTGGAGGACGAAGATGTTGATATTGAAGAAAACCCTATCAGTGACCAGGAGGCAAAGGCAAGATTGAATTATTTGTCTATCGTTGTTTTGTGAATGTGAAGAAACTAGGCTTTACCGAGGAAGTTTAGGTGATCACCTACCATGGTAAATGGTATCCTCAAGAGACTGTTAGTTCTTGAATTTACATCCAAATTGGTAAATATTTCAATGTGGATAGTACTTTTCGTCGTAGGTTATTAGAAATTGCTTCACACAGCCGTATCTTTATGTTAATACTAACAAAACGTAAGACCATAATCTCTGTTAGCTAATATTATAAGCTATGCTTGATGAAATTTTAGGCGGTTGAATCGCACAGTCCCCAGAATTAATATTTGGAGTGTCTTGTCACAAAAAATGCAGTTCCAACATAATTATCTACTTAGCAGCGTCATGTAACTTGATCATCTTTTCACCAAGTTTAGTGAATAATGTGTAGTGAAAGCGTCTGGGGATAATGTGTCGATAACGTTTGAAAATTGTTCCTTATGATATCCTCAAAGGTAAACATTATAGTTCAGGTCTCTCTTGTTGGACTGCAACGAATATGAGAATAAACATCTGGATTTGAAACATGTTCCCCCAAAATGTTCTAATCGTTAACATGTTAATGTGGAAAAAGGTATTTAAAACCGAATTTTTAATACTTCGGCCAGTCTTATGAAACAAGTCATTGTTTGTGATTGGAAACATTAATGTAAGATCACTATTTATTAAAAGACACTGACGGTAGCTGTGATGAAAGCGTACTGATACACTTTTACACTTTTACTGGGATTAGTTCCTAAAAAATAATGTTCAAACCATCTAACCAGAATTTTTGTACTGATTTGTATTTCATAATTGTCATCGTGTGTTTACTTCATTCGTCAACATCTGCAAATAAAAGAAGTAATTATTTTAATTTCTGGTCAGTAATTGATACAAAACAAAAAATCGAGGACTTTGTTTAATTTTTTGAAATTTATTGTCTTTAAATTTATATCACATTACGCAGAAAGTACTTGATGTAAGCAAAGATGTGTAATATGTTCAAATTAAGCTTTATGCATGGTCTAATATTGGACATCAAAACCTCTTCAAAGGTCAACACACACTACCTCAATGTATTTTTTAATATCTAGCTCAAACCTTAAACCACAATCAAGACAAAAACCTTACTTGACTGGTTCGTTTACCTTTAATCTTATCTTTCCAAACCCTGCTTATCGTAACTCCTAAGCTGACAGAATGCTAGTTAGATTCAGTATCCCAATTTTATATATCGAAAATAAAAATAACTACAGGATCTTTAAAGTATTAATCCATGGCTAACATCCGTTAGTGGTAAACATTAGTTCCATCACCGGGGATCTAGTAATCCGGTTGTGATATTAATTTCTTACCAAGAAAAAGATTCACTTATAACATTCGACATACTTTCAGCGTTGGCTGGCTTTGATTCTCTTAAAGTATCTTAATTATTGTACTTCAAGAGCAAGTGATTTCTTTTATTTCTCTTAGTTCCCTTGTGGAAAAGCAATCATTTTGGCTAGGTGTCAAGGCATCCTTATGCTATTTGCTTTTTATACACAAAGAAAGCTTTTGAATAGTTAAAAGTAGTTAGTTTATTGTTTGGATAAATTTCCCAAGAATCAAAAGAGCTTTAGAGACAATTAGTCTTGTATTTAATAATTTCGCATTCTAATTATTAAAGCAGTATATATGACAGAGTCAATAGTCTTCTTCATAAGAAGAACTGTTAGCAAATAAACCGCAATAGTCATACTTCTTTTAGCCACTTAATACGGAAACTTTTATTATTAGTCACGTCAGCTACTTTCTAATCTCGGTGTTGAAAGTGCTCACTATTTTTGTAGCTTAACTTGTAATATGTTGTGTTTTGAATTCCTCAGTCTGCTGCTGCATTGTGCATTAAAGTGGGAAGTTTCTCAGATCCAGTAGAAGCTCAGGGCTTATCACATTTTTTGGAGCATAGTAAGTTTTATTAAGCTAATACTGTTGAAAACTTTGTGTACTTCTATGTATATTTTATGCTTGTAAGAAGTACCGACTCCTCATATTTTCTCACTTCTTGAATCACCATTACTCAAAGTGTCAATCCAAGAAAGTAATTGGCTCAGACCAGACCATATAAGAACTTGTTTGTTTTCCATTGTTTAATAATGATTATTATTTGTGTACATCAGTTTTGATGATATTATAGTTTACTACACAACGGCATAATTCTTCGACTTATCACGTACCTAACTGTTAATAGCTTACATTTACAAAATATTACCTAATGTTTCTTTGTATAAATCTGTCAGGAGTATACTGTTTTGATTCAAGTAAAGCGTATCCATGGTAAACAATCGTGTAATTTGTACTGTAAGACGAATTTACTTAAGGATTAATATACTATTTGATACAAATCAACATTTAATAATATTACACATATATTGATTTTTTTTCTTTACAGTGGTATTTATGGGTAGTTTAAAATATCCAACAGAGAATGATTTTGATGCATATCTTAGTCAGCGTGGTGGAACTAATAATGCTTGGACAGGGAATGAATACACCTTATTTCATTTCGATGTAAAACGTAAACATTTTGCTAGTTGCCTTGATAAATTTGCCAACTTTTTCATTTCACCACTTTTAAGCAAAGATAGCACAGATCGTGAGATAAATGCAGTTAATAGCGGTAAGTAAAGTAGTCCTTGAGTATTTATCATATATATAGTTCTATTAAGAATTGTTTGTATACATATGTAGGCGATTCAACTTCTCTAAAATTATTATATGAACACTTATTTGACCATTTTTGTATTTTTGTCTCAAATTGAATTCACACATTTAAAGTATGTCTAAAGTAAGGGATATTCACTTGAAGGTGATTTATGGAGATTAGTTCCATATGTAGGTTGTATTTATCGTAGATTTATCTATATCACTGAAAACCAGAGGACCATTGGGGTGTGACTGGTGTTCAGATGTTTCAAGAGTGAAACGATTGTCACAAATGTCATTGCATGACCGTATCTGTCACAAATTGATCAATATTGAAATTGTACCGTTATATACTAGCTCAGTGGTTCTTATGGTTATACGTTCACTGCAAAACCTGAACATACTGTGTTCAATTCCGGATGTTTGGTTGTCGTCGCACATTACTGAGTAGTCCCACAGCATGACGAACCAGCTATTTAGCATGTTATTTCCGAACGAAGAGTAAGTGAATGGTAACTGCCAAGAATTATTTGTGGACTATTATTAAATATATTCCTATTAGATACCTATTAAGTGACTAGATTATATGTATGTTCATATTTGTTTTATCGCTAACTTTCGTTAGATCCATTGAACACTATTACACGATTTATTATTCTCAAGTTACTCACAGTCTACTAGTTACAGTCTTACACTCACAGCCGCTCTTGGCTTAATTTTGTATAATTATTAATTTTCATTTTATGGTGTGATGCGGTCTGATTTGTTTGTATATAAACTACATATTATATTATTCATACATTTTTTTTCTTTTTTACAGAATTCGAACTGGCATACACCAAGGATTCTTCACGACTCCACTATTTAATTGGTCATTTGTCTCGTAAAGATTCTCCTTACAAACTGTTCGGTTATGGTATGTATGTTCATCTTTTATTGGCTAATTTTTTATGTATATATGGTTCACCCTTCACTGTTCGATGCCTTCAAATGTGAATTATCAAAATTCTTGGTTTAAGCTTGTCGTGTGTAAATTATCTTTGAGATTGTTTCTTATCCTCTTTTGTCTTCAGGCAATTGTAAATCGCTACGTGAAATCCCGGAACAAAATGGTACTGATATTTATTCACTTTTAAATAAACATCGAAAGAATTTTTATTCTTCTGATCGAATGACACTTGCTGTACAGTCGAAACGTAAGTCTCTCAAAAGTGTGTACACTTTAAGAAGTTGACGGTAGGTTTGATCTATGCTTTTAATATGTTTTTAAAAAAATCGAAGTTTTTCATTTGGAAGAGTATTCTGCTACATTTGGATGCTGTTGTATACCTTATTTTATTTCTAGCATGTGTGTTGATATAGTAGGATACCGAAAACAGCGGCACAAATGTAGTGGTAATCATATTGTGACTGAAGAGGAAAGCGGCAACTCAATAAACAAGAAGTATTTAATAGTAGGTTCTGTTCATTTAAAAATACAATCAAGGAGAATTTGATTGGGTTGGTGAAGTTTATCTCAATCTTTTTGTTCAAAAACTGTGATGAAAAACTATTGGGTTTTATTTCCGACTGTGTCTGATAACGTCTCACACCACTGAGTTTTGTGGTCCCTTGGACCCGAACCATAATAAACTGTAAAATTCCATGTCTATAGCGAGATATCTTTCATTCGACGGCTTCATGTCATAAGTCAAACATATATACTTTCGTTTAATCCAGATGCAACACCGCAGTGCGAAGGTCCCTGTGATTAAATTCATAAAAAAACGCATTCAAGCTACGGAACTCGATATTTTAAGACTGATAGTGTTGTATGTGGAGAAGATTAAATTATGGTTAACTTTCAGGAACTATTTATAGACTGTTATATATATACTTTTATTGCATAACTGTTAAGTGACTAGATTATATATATATATATATATATATATATATATATATATATATATATATATATATATATATATATATATATATATATATATTCCTTTTATCATGAATTTTCATTTGACCTATTGACTACCATTATACGATCTACTATTCCCAAGTTATTCCCAATTTATTAGTTACAGTGTCACACTGACTTGCCGCTTAATCCTGTATAATAATAATAATAATTTTTTATTCTACGGTGTGATGCGGTCTGGTTTGCTTGTATTTAAATCACATGTTTGAAATATGTGGTTTACACAGTGGAGACTGAGATCTCAATTTTTACTCAACGGGCGGGGACAGGCGAGAAGTTACTGTTTTAAGGACCAATAAGGATTCAGAGTTGACGCAAGGCTGCTAGTGCTGTTTTGACGTGTCATTGGTTTACTATAGGAACAGGGTCTGATTGGCTATTTTGTCACGTGATAATTGACAAGGGCAAAAAATATAACAACGAGCAGCGGTAATTTTTGGAGTTAAAAGAAATTAATAACAATGATAGTAGCAGCAGATGTTCGCTTTTCAACAGCGAATCCTGGAAGCAATTTTGGGAAGACTTTCTACTCAACCAGATATTCCAGGACATAAAGGTAGAGAGTCATATCTCAGTCCAATCTCGGAATTTATTTTTGATGCAGATAGTGGTCATAATTTTGAAGCATGGTTTTGCAGAATGGAAGACAATTTCCAAGTACAATTTTTCGCTATGGACGATGCAAACATAGTTTGTCGTTACAGAAACTTGGTTTCAATAAGCATGAAAAGTATGAAAAGCATATCCTGCCTAAACATCCATGAGAAGTCAATTTCAATGGAACTATCAACCTTTTAAATAAAATGTTTCATGAACATATGTCACCATTTCATATCCGGTATAATTGTCTACAGTTGACTAAAAAAGTTGACGAAGACTACACTACGTACGCTGGTAGAGTAAATTTACGAATAGAACGGTTTAAATTAAATGTATTATCCAGTGATCAATTTAACTACTTATTACTCACTTCCGGTCTAAACTCTCCCGTCGATGCTGACTTTCTTATGCGGTTGTTATCCCGTATGGTACTTGACAATGAAATGACCTTGAAAACTGTTACTGTTGAACGCCAACAAATAATGCAATACGAGGCACGATCCGTGGACGGGGTTGAGCAAGCTCACAGCACCCGTCCGAAGGTGAAAAATACAGGCGATTTCATTGGTCTTAGTTTAGAGACCGTTGCAGAAATTACACTGCAAAGAACAGATACTACACATGATCTTAGCTCAGAGAGCCGGGAAGCATGGCACAAATCCATGACGTCACTGACAAGTGAACTGAGCCATGTTGGTAGGTGTAGACTACCTGGTTGGGGACCGCGAGATGATAGCGCTCGATGGTTAGAGACTCTGAATGACATAGCTCCAAATCGTTTGCAATGGCGCAGGTGCATCCACTCTTTGTGTTCTCCCAAATTCTAATCTGAATTCTTTATGTTCCTTTTTTCCTCTTTCCAAATTTATTTCACTGTATTATACTCCTTGAATACCATCTTCAAACCCTAATCTTTCCGATTTCTGCTTATACTCTTACCACCTTTACTACTATGGGATCTGAATCGATAACTGCATCTCTGTGTTAATATGGTATGGTAACTCGAACTGATGCACGTACGTACGAAGTTCTACGTTGTTACTGACTGACTGACTGACCGACCAACGATTAATAAATCTAAAACGAAGTACAGCTATTGTGGAAACCAAAAGTGCGGTGCCATCTAACCATTCTGTTCATGCTGTTAAGACAGGTTGAAGACAAAATAGTACCAAGAGTTATAAATTCGACTCTAAAATTTTCAAACCTTCAACTAAATGCTTGGAATTTCTCGGAAATTTGCCGGTTTAGAAATCACGGATTTCCTATATGCAATGAAGTCGGTCATAAAGAAACAGTCAGCCGAACTAGAGAAGTTTGAGGTCAAGGCCGATGAAGCATCTTCACCAGTATCAAAACAAGTATATAAACAGTATATATGCTACACTGGGATTAAACATAGATGATAAAAGAATGCACGTTGAATTATTAGTTAATGGTGTTGATATTCGATTACGATTGGATACAGCATCAAATATCAAGTTAATTTCTAAACGAATATATAATTTAATTGACTGTTCACAAGAATTGTCAAGTGAGAATACAGCTCGGAATGCATCTGGAGACTTATATTAAAGCTTTTTGGAATAATAGAATGCTTTGTTGTATTCCGAGACAACTACTTCAAAAGCAGTCGTTACTTAACGAACAGACATGATTTTGACCTTATTAGTATAGATTGGATGGACAAACTAAATTTATGGGACAGACCCTTGAGCGAAATATGCTCGATGAAAAGCTCAGATAATTCTAGATATCTACCTATCGTTCATGTAACTGAAAAAGCTATGGCGATAGAAGATCGTTTGCGGAAACATACAAACTTATTCCGGAATAAGTTGGGACGCTGCATAGTTGGAAAGGTAAAATTGTTTTTAAGACAAGATATGAAACCTGTTTTTCGTCCAAAACGTCGAGTCCCATATGCAGCTAACGACAAAGTTGACAAAGAACTAGATCAACTAGAGAAGCTCGGTGTTATACAACCTATTAACCATTCGACATGAGCAGCACCAATTGTAGTAATTCAGAAAGCGAACGGAGCTATTCGCCTTTGTGCAGATTTTTCAACAGGATTAAATGATGCTTTACAAAACCATTCATATCCACTACCTTTGCCAGAGGATATATTTGTTAAATTAAACAGTGGACTTGATTTATCTGAAGCCTACTTACAAGTGGAAGTTGACAATAATTCAGAGGAGTTATTAACGATTAATACCTACCATGGATTCTATCAATTTAACCGATTACCGTTCGGTGTAAAGCCAGCTCCAACTGTTAGGCCGGTTAGACGTTGTGTTTACTAATATAACGCCAGCTGGTTTTCAGTTACAAAAAGAAAAGTATGAATTCCTCGAGTCTGTCAAATAACTTGAATATGTATTTGATAAGAATGGTCGCCGCTCAGACCCAGATAATATAAATGCTTTAAAAACATGCCCAGGCCGACTGATGTTGCAACGATCCATTCATTTTTGGGGTTAATTGGTTGTTATGGTATGTTTTTAGCTTACATGCGTAGATTACGACACTCATTAACCCAACTTTTGGTGACTAATGCAACATGGCACTGGACAAAAGAATTTCAAAATTCTTTCGACGAAATAAAAAGAATTTTATCTTCTAAATTGTTGCTTACCAGTTATGATTCAAAGCTTGAAACAATTGTGGCCACTGATGCTCCCAACTATGGAATTGGAGCTGTCATCAGTCAACGTTTTCCTGATGGTAAAGAAAAGCCCATTGCTCATGTATCCTGAACTCTTAACGTAGCTAAACGAAATTACAGTCAAACTGAGAAAAAACGATTAGCTTCAGTTTTTGCAGTAAAGAAATGTCATAAAATGATTTATGGTCATCGATTTACTTTTTTAACGGATCACAAGCCGTTCATATCTGTATTTGGATGGGGTATTCCTGCATATACAGCAAATCGATTATAACTCTGGGCTATTACATTACGTACCTATGGTTTACAAATTTTATATAAATCAACAGGAAATTTGGATAATCTGATGCTTTATCCCGACTAATTGCGAATCAGAAACAGAAAAGTGAAGATTCTATTATTGCAACGATATCGTTGGAAGAGGATATTCATCAAATACTACAAGTTGCTGTAAAAGCAACACCATTGTCTGCTGAAGATATTAAATGCTATACTCAAGAAGACGACGAGCTGAAACAGATTATTAGTTACCTCGAGCATGGGTGGTCTATTCATATAGACAACAAATATACTGAACATTATGCTCATTGACGGATTTCTCTATCACTCGTGGACATATGCCTGATGTTTGGACATCGGGTAGTTATACCCACGAGCTTACGTCGTAAGGTGATGTTAGAACTGCATGCTGTACACACAGGGATAGCACGGATGAAAGCACTTGCGCGTAGATACGTCTACTGGCCAAATATTGATGTTCAAATCGAAGAATATATTGCGAAATTTTCTGCGTGTGCTCAAACTTCTAAAGCCTCTCGAAAGACAAAAATGAAACGTTGGGGAGCTACGATAAAGCCATGGTCATAAGTGCACGTGGATCTTGCCGGTCTCATAAAGGAGAAACATTTGGTAATTGTTGATGCTTCCTCCGAATGCCCAAAGTTTACTACATAAAGTATGTATTGACGGAAGCTACTGTGGAAAAATTGAGACAGGAATTCAGCTTGTTTTGGTGTCCAGATGTATCGGTATCGGATAATAGACCTCAGTTTACTTCTGCGGAATTCTTCATCGCCGGTGCCGTTAGGCATTTTGGAACACTTTCTATACTATCTTCAGTATAATGGGTTAGTTGAAAGGTTTGTGGGCAGCTTTAAAAAGCACTGCTTAAATCTGAGGGAAAAGGAGAAGTAAAGGATGTCATTCAAAAACTTTTACTAACCCACAGCGCAATTCAAAACCCGGCAACAGTTAACGACGGAAGTTCAACAGAAGCAGTTTGGAACAAAAATTAGAGTACCAATAGAACAAATAAAATCAAGATCCAAACATAGTCTCTGCAATCGTAAACGAGTGGAACAATGAACGATATGATGCATTGTTCAGAGAGTTCAATGTGGGGCAAACAGTAGTAGGAAAAGATTTTCATGGAGTAAAATCAACTTCAAAGATTGGGACTGTAGTCTTCAGAAAAGGAAACGTTATTTCTGAAGAAAAAGTCGGAGAACAGATATGGGTGCAGCATGCAAACTAACTTCGGCCGACTAGACAAGAGTGGGAGACTGGGAGTGATTTAATGCCGGACATACCATTAAACATATTAGCTGAATTAAATAATGATATTAAAAGGGACTCAAGTAACAAGAGAAAGTGTACGATACCTCAAAGACGGTCTCAGCGCATTGCATACCTGTTGTTCTTTAATATGAAACTTATCAACGATGCTCGTCCACATTCTTGCCGGCATTCGAAGCCGGTTAGTAACATATTAATTGTATTGAGGATGGTTACGCAATGTTGCGAACTAACTGAGGTTAGATGTATAAATCGTTAGATGCTATGTCAATGGTTCAAATGTTGAGTGTTCATCGTTAAATCTGAATGTTTTGGGTTTGATCTATGGTATCGTGAATGCATATTGCTAAGCAGTCCCATATTATGAAAAAATAGCTTTCCAATGCTTTCTGACTTTTAATGATTTTTTTAAAACTCAGGCCGTTTCACACTGTAAACGATCAAGTTCATTCAATAGTCTCATTTAACATATTTTGATCGTGAGTAAATTAGTCAATATTTGTACAACTAATTTACTTGTTCTTTTTAACCGTAAATCTAAGCACAATCCAACTTGACAGTATCGTCTTACTTTAGTAGATTTTTGAAATCACGTGTAAAAAATTCATCAACATTTAGCTAATCAGTCTTTTCACATAAAAAATAACATTATTATTTACTTAATCACTTCCAGCAGTTGAATGCATAATGAATAATGAGGACATTTGTTTAATTGTAACATTACACAATATATATTGCCAGTTGTTTCTCATTTGACTAGAAATCGTAAATTAGTTGTTTGAATTCTCAAGTATCAGTACTGGTTAGGATAACTGAAATATCAGAACAAAACAGCATCGAGCATGTAAACTGAAATCTGAAAATATCTTGATTGTTAAGTTTCGTAATTCATTTTTAACAAGGAAAAACGTAGTTGTGTAGTTTGAATAGAGTCGATAGAGATTAGCGCCGTACAATAGTAGTAGTAGTTATTCACCTCTTACAACACTCTATTCCAACGGAATTAAACTTTTGTTAAAAAAATATACAAACCACACGTTTGTTCAAATTTAATTAGTTTATTTGCTTGTTTTTAAAAAAAATTCACTTTTCAGATCATTTAGACGATCTGGAAGTATTGGTACGAAAAATTTTCTCTGATATACCAAGAATGTAAGTTGTATGATAACATATTATCACTATTAAGAACTTTCACCTAATAGTAAATGTTTTTTTTTAATGTCCCAATGAGTAGAAAAATTGTATTCTTGATGCAAACCCCTTCTTTACTCTGAAGAAGTGGTTAAGATCAAGTCACAAAACACCAATCTTTCTACTCATTGGGACATAACAAAATATATATTTATTATTATTAACTTTCCATTCAATACTCAATTTATTTGAAACTATCAAGTTCAACCTTGGTATTGATACCCGTAAACTTTCAACTAAATTTGAATGAATAGTTTCACAGTAGTTGGGTGCTGATTTAATGTAATACATTAAGGAATAAAATTATAATTGTTAAATCTCAGCGATTGAATTTTAAGTAAATCCAACTTTTCGCACTTAATTATCTGGTTCAAACTTTTTCAAGGAAATATAACCAAACATCAAAATTATCGAATATAAATAAGTACATGATTCCCTGGTTAACTGTATACTAAACAGGTTATCAGATTATGTTGACAATGTTAAAAGTAAAAAATTTGCTATAGTACCTATAAGATTTCTGGTGTGTAAAGAAAAGTATGTTTAGATAACATACACCTATTTGATTATATTTCCTTGGAAAAACCATATTTCTGAGTGAAACACTGGATTTACTCAAAATTCAATCGCTGAAACTTTACAAACATGATTTTCACCCTTAATTTATTATGAATATTATTCAATAAAATGCTTCGTAGTGTAAGGGCTATGTAGAGATTGTCGAGTTCCATTGTTTACATCACAATCATTGAAAAGTAGGAAGTACTGCACAACTGTTTCGTCTTAGTACTGTAATAGTGATGATCAAGAGTTAATTCCTGAAATCCTACTGATAAACCGTGACATATGGAGTTCAACCAGGTTGGATATGAGGCTTTTACCCACCAATGATATTGGTAGGTGGTTGCGCAATATTACGAACTGACCGAAGTTGTAGATGTGAAGCATCGGATGCCAACTCATTGGTCGTATAATTGAACACTCATGTCGATATCCAAAAGTTCTGGTTTTCGTTGATGGTGGCGTCGTGGCTATACACTGCTGGGTAGTCTCACAGTAGGACGAAATAGTCTTTTAATACTTCCTGGTTTTCAATGGTTGTCTAAGTACGATTATTTCGTGATGTAAGCCGTAGGTACCGGACCATTGAATACAGCACCTTACTCTACCTAAATTGAGATGGGAAATCAGATAATCTTTTTATAATCCCTACACACAACAAATGTATGGTCGTACACTTGAACCTTTATATAGTTACTGAATGACATTAGACTAGGAGCCATATTTTTTGTGAGAGTGAGTGAATACTACCTTTATCATCTGATTGCGTACATCTTAATATGTAGATAATTATGGTTGCAAACTGCTATCCCACTGCATATGGAGTGTTTAATTTAATAAACCATCGTTTTGCTAAGGCGCATGGATTGACTTGATATCCTAACACTTTCTTTTGTACAAAATTAATGCAAGTTGAAATTCTACATGTATATGTTGGAAATAAGGAATTCCCAAATGCCAACTTATAAGAATTTAAGGTGAATTCAAGGCCAACTTACAACATATTTTCGTTACATTATTCTGTGAGTTTACTCAGTTCATAAATCAAAAACATAGTCATCAGTTTGTAACTAATTAATTTAAGCAGTTTTTTAATTCTTTGTGGGTCTCGTTCGGCAAAGCTTGTATGCAGAAAATATACCTCCCACTCTATCTGACGGAGCAGGAAAGAAGAGGATAAAGGTAGTCTCGTTTATTGTGTTGGAGTTGGAGATACGAAATGGTAGTTCAGCATATGAGTAGCATATAATCTAAATTCATAAGTTAATCGAGTAGTAGATACAAAAAGGTCTTAATGGCTTTGCTCATTTATAACTAAAATAGAACGAGAACGATATGATTAAAAAATATCAAATAATCACAATCTTACTTAAATAGTGCAACTAATAAGTATGTCGTTGTCAGTACCTTCGACATACTTTAGAATTATACTTAATTATATCCTTTAATAACTTGATTGGATAAACGATGATGCCTAGTAGTCAAGGGGTTCTAGTTTCAGTCACTAAGTCTCTGGTTTGAACTTCATTTCACTTCGGTTTGGACAATCACGTAATATCATCAGCCCTCATATTTAGGATGCCTAAGTAGATGTTGAATGACTTTTATCTAAATATAGTCTTCTCTGAGTGCTTTCAGAATCATAAAGTTATCTGTTACCCTTATGAATAACCTTTATTCTGCTCCCAAAGCCAAAATATGATATTTATTTATTTAAACACTAGATATTGGTAAAAATGAGCATAAAAATATGTATGCGCCACATAATAACGATACGATCGTAAGAGATAGAGAAAGGAGGATGAGTATAATAAAAAAATGAATAGAAATCAATGTGTGAGAGTAAAGTAATAATAGCACTACCAGAAAGAATTCTTTAAGTTGAAGAAGTTACGTTCATTTTTATGAAGAAAGTAAAAAAGGGTTACAGCGAGATCGCCATCAGCTTCTATTATGAGACATGTCTGATAACGTTTTAAGCCATTGTATCTTACTATCTCTAGGACCCCAACCTATGAGTCTTGAAGGTTTAACAGATTCCAGTCCTGTACAGCTTTCTTCCATACCATGACACTGTGTCATATACTGACCATCTCTCCGCTTTTACCAACCGGTCCCATAGTCTGCAAATAATGCAAGGTGTGGAATTCGTTGGGGAAAGCTGTTAACAGAGCGTTTTCATCTCTGTACCATATAGATCACATAAAATATTACTATGACAAAACTAAGTTGATAGAATTATCTTTTGACAACAGTTGAACGAAAAATATCCATCGAATAAATCTTGAATTGTAGTTTTGATAATATAATGCTTATTTATCTTTTGTTCTTGTGTTTCGTTTTTATCGTTTAATTCTAGTGGACTACCTGTGACAAACTTTCAATGTGTTGAACCATTCGATGTGAATTCATTTGCTAAATTATACAAAGGTGAGTATAAAACTATTTCATTAAATGAAATTGATTTTCTATACATGTATTTTTTTCAATCGAAATTTCGTCACAAGCTAACATTGTCGTGAGAACCATTGAAAATAAATCAGAGCTCACTATATAATTATTTTCTCCGCATTTGGGGATCAACAATAGTTGGAATTCATTCATCAAGTCATACATACATAGACACGAATCTAAAATCTTACAAGCTCTCTCTTACTATCCGTAGGCTAAAACATGCTTGATTCCACTTAGAAATTGTCAAATGGGCAACATTTTGAACTTCAGTTTATTAATAATAAATTATTCAAGTAATTTTTTTAAAATTTTGACTCCTAATTCCAGAGTTGTAGGGGTATTTATAGTATTAGTTGTAGTAGAAAATATTAGCTATGAAAGATCAGATTATAGAAGAAAATATGGATTAGTGGGATAGAACAGTCTATAGTCCATTTAGAAACTTAGGATCTAATAGAAGACTAAGAGGGAATGCAGTTGCGTTATTGCAAATAAGTTTAATTCATTTTATCCAGTCTCTAACCATTGAGTATGATAGTTATGTGGGCTCCAAACAAATAGTCTGCATCTACCGACATGGCTCAATCCAACAGTCAGGGACGTCATGGAACAGTGCCACGTCTTGATTTGGCTACTTGTAACTTTCTTCCGACCTGCTTCTCCACCAGCCGTTATTTCACGTTGAGTTAGTCTCTGGCTGCTGGGCATATGTGATACATCTCCCAGCCACCTCAGTCAACCAAGATTCACTACCTTATCAATTAATTTGCCATACTTATCTGGTACTCTGCGTCCAACCTCAATATTACTAACTAAACGGTTCTAACATACGCGAGGAATGCTTCTAAGGGATTTATGATCAAATATTAGTAACCTATGAATATCCTCTATTTTTAAGGTATATGCTCTACGGTGAGACTATAATTTATGGACGACCTTTGAGTGACGCTAAACTGACGTTAAGAATGTTCACCTACTAACTAGGACTAAATGAAGACTATAAAACGGTATGAGGAATTAAGATTATGATTTAAAGTTGATGGTTAAGGTTAGGAACTAGATTTAGGGTTTTCGTCACGAATTGACTTCAGCTAGAATGCCAAAACGCTATCTAGCCAAATGAATGATTGAATTTCGCGCCAAAATCCAGGATCTGTTATCTTGTATCTGATTGGCTCGTCCATAAATTACGGTCTACTATGTTTCACGTCTTTCTATAGTTCTACTACTACTATCACTACTGTTGTGAATGAGGGATAACCAGTCGTAATTAAACACAAAATTACAAAATATCTTGGTAAAATATGAGAACTATAAATTAAATACTTCATTTGCAAATTTTCATCATTTGTCTTTCACATTCTGTATGACTCTTCCTACTCGCAATTCCTTTCTATTTCCTTTTCTATTCTCTTCAAATTGATCTTATTAGCCTTCTTCTGACAGGGTTACATACTAATTATGTCTGTCGACATAAGTAACATACACCACACTACTACTACTACGTAACCTCATCTGATTCGAACGACAAATTTCTGTCAAAGGACTCGTTGTAAATACCCCAAAACGACTGAACTACGTGAACTGCTTTTACATATAAATTTGGTAACGAATCGATAGCGCAAAACATGTATAGCTAAGAGAGATAACATTGAAGAACACATTAAATGTGTAGGCAAATTTCGATTGCTTAAAAATAAAGACGAAAATCTAAGTTTATAAAATTAAAAAGTTGGTCTATAAACAGGGTTGGAAGATTTGACCATCCTCGATATTTCGATAGATACAAAACCCAGTGCATATACAATCTGAAGTTTTGTTTTGTATCTTTTTTATTTAAATATGTAAACATTAGTGCAAGGAGGCACCAAATATATATGCACCACACAAATCATTCGATTTGTATGAGGACTGGGATACTATCCAGGCCCCAAAACCGAAACAGGTGGTTTTCTTAGAGGGCCACACCCGGAGCCTTCGACCTGGAGGTCTACTCCATAAGGGAGTGAGCAACGTTAGGAGATGCAGTCCTATGGTAGCCGGTGACCAACAGTGAGTTCATATGCCATTTGTCCCCATAAGATCCTGAATCCTGTGTGCACCATTGGTTTGGAATCACGGTTTTCCAACTACCCTAAGTGGACCCTACATATGCACCAATCCGGTTAAAGCTCTGGAGATTCTCTTTTCGTCCTCTTAATTTGGTAAACAACGCCGGTGCCACAAAAAGGCAGTGAGTAGGACCTTTCTGGCAGTTTTTGTATACACATGACCATGTGAGAGCATTTCGAGAGGGAAAGCGAACTCTTCTTACTCTCGAGCAGTACCAGAGCATTTGTTTTATATCCCAATGTTACCGTAAGATGCTTTACATCATTCGGTATTTAAATAACTTGGCTTTCAAACAGTAGGCTAGGTAGGTTGGTTTAAAGGTCACTTTGCGTACTTTATATTGCCCAGTGGATTAGCATTACTATACCTTACATAAATAAATTGTATCTCAGAATTTTGAGTGAACAAACTTATGCATGATTAATAAAGTATTATCTAAGTTCTAGTGAGAAGTTTAAGCTGATGGAGTTTAGACAGGTTGGCAATGAATGAATTATCTACTAAATGGCATTGGATAGTCGTCGCGCTATATCGCGAATTGACTGGAGTTACCTGTGTACCAATGGACGTCAGTCAAATAGTTATAATGATCACGGGTTTACTGTGAGATCTGAAGGTCCTAAATTCGATTCCTGGTAGGTTCATGGATGCTCACTGATAGGGAGTACCATACTAATACCGAAACATCTATCTGGAACTCCCTAATTTTCAATCGTACCCTAACTCAAATCAGTCTGTACTAGATACTACCTATCCAGTTTCAAAAATCTACAAATAACTGGCTAGTATTTAAAAAGAAAATCGTTACTATAATTATTGGTTGACTTGGGAAACTTGTTACGCTAGCTTTGTATTTGCATGTTTTTCATCAACATTATATGTAATTTTCTTTCTGAATTTTTTGTTTTGTTTTCTAATGATGTTAACAGTTTGTCCTTTGAGTGTAAAAGAGAAAATACGTATTGTTTGGATTCTTCCTCCACAAATCAATAATTATGAGTAAGTTGTATTGATCATAATGATGAGTTTTACCAGTTAGTTAGCTGTTACTTTTGTTATCATCGTTGCGTAGGTTGAAAGAATTGAGTAATTGTGATTATTTATAATAGTGTGGTTGATTGAAACACGTGAAGCTGCGGTTCGGTGTCATTGTTGGTTGTGGAGATGTCTTACTGTCAATCACTTGGTCGTCAGTTCGATTTCCTCCCAATTACTTCAATCAGCACACTTGGTTTCATTCAATTACTGGTCCTATTACTATTATTGTTATTACTCGAAATGAAATGTACGAATCTGTGTAATCATTTATTGTGTCAATTTGATTTAGTTGTCGTTTGAACGATTAGTAACATATTTGTATGTTGTTTACCGTTCTTCTGAATTCTTGTACCATCAACTTAAGAAAATTCCGTATATATGTATGTAGTAAGCAATTTCCTACAGGTTTAATTCTGAGCTATACCCTAGACCGAATACAGAGTCTTGGTTTGACCAAAGTCAGAACAAGCAAGCTATTTGGCTAGATAAACTTTATCTGTTTCTAAAACATAAATTAACATCGCTAGTGTACAAACAAACAGTACGGTCTATTAATACAGGGAAAAACAGACAAATAACATACCGAACAGTAGCCAGAGAATAGGAAAAATGAGTCAACAAAGCAAATATTGTTTCACAATGAACATCAAACTGCGATTGGTTAATAAAGAGATACGGTCGCACAAGGTCAAAGGGAGTTAATGTGGTGGTGGGCGTTTCACTTTATTATTGGCGGGTTCGTCTATCGACCACATTTTACACTCCCTCCGAAACACGCACCACGTCCATTGTCCAAGGTCGTCGTCGCCGTCAGACAATCGGCTCCTTCTAGTAGACATAAGCTTCGTACGTCCCGAACGATTTCTTCATTTGCGGTTCTCAATTTTGCCGTACGAACTCGTCCATCGGGGCCATAACTTACTTGTTCGACAATAGCCTTAGGCCAGAGACCCCTACTCGTTTCGACGTTACTAACAAGAACTAGATCTCCCGGTTGTAAGTTCTCGTGTACTTTCAACTATTTGTCTCTTATTTGAAGAGTCGGTAAATATTCTCTTATCCATCTATTCCAGAATGCAGTGGTTAATTTTTGAGCTTTTTTCCATCTCTTGTTGTATAATAACGTCTTATCCACCAAAGCATCGTCGAATGATAATCCTTTATAAATCAACAATAACTTATTCGGAGTAAGAGCCTCTAGGGTACCAGGATCGTCTGTCACTCTAACCAGAGGTCTGTTATTCAGTATCCATTCTGCCTCAGTTAAGAAGAATTGCAGTTTCATCGGTCAACACGTTTTGGAATAAAAGCACTCTTAAGATTCTTTTAATAGATCTTATGATGCGTTCCCACACACCACCTCGATGACTTGCCCTAGTCGGGTTGAAACGCCATTCACATTCTCGTTCTTTGAGGTGGTTTCTTATTTTATTTGTATCCCAGGAACGTATAATCTGTCTCAAACTAGCATCTGCACCTCGGAAATTTGTGCCGTTATCGCTAAAAATGCGCTTCAGGCATCCTCTTCTGGCAATAAATCTTAATAATGCGCATAAAAATGAATCCGTATCTAAAGAGTGGGTCATTTCGATGTGAACAGCTCTAATAGACAAGCAGGTGAATAACCAGCCGTAGCGTTTCTCGACAACTCTACCTCGTTTGGCATAGAATGGTCCGAAGTAATTCACACCTACTTGACCAAAGGGTGGCGAATGAGTCTCTACTCGGTATTCCGGCAACGGTGCCAGTAGGTCTCACGACGGACATTGAAGCCATGTTCCACCAAGTAATAGTTCCGCCGCATGATCGAGATGTTCTTAGATATTTGTGGGGGCCAAGTGGAGACTTAGAAAATGAACCCGAGATCTATAGAATGAAGATCCACCTGTTCGGGGCAACTTCATCGCCATGTTGCGCCACCTTTGCTTTGCAGAAAACGATTTCTGATAATCAAGATAAATTTCGCAGGGCTGTTACGCAAGCAGCTAAAGGACAGTTCTATGTGGATGATTTATTGATAAGTGTGGATACTATAGAAGAAACCAAACAGACATATTCACACTTTAAAAGACTCCTAAGTTTGAGAGGATTTAACTTAACTAAATGGACTAGTAATAGCGTTGAAGTGCTGGGGTTAATTCCAGAAGAAGACCGTGTTGAAGGAAACATTATTGTCTGCGAGTTCAATGAGACAACTAAACGAACTCTGGGAATAGAGTTGAACGTCCGAACAGACGAATTATGTTTTAAAGTTCATGAATTTCACGGAAACCCAACCAGAAGGAATATTTTATCGTACGTAGCATCTATCTTTGATCCAATTGGGTTTGTAGCCCTAATAATATTACCGGTTAAAGTGATATTACAAGATACTTGTCATTTATCTTCTTCCTCCAACAAGAATCTCGGCCCTTGTAACCACTCGCAGACAATAATGTTTCCTTAATTCTATAATTCTATAGTATCCACACATATCAATAAATCATCCACATAGAACTGTCCTTCAGCTGCTTGCGTAACAACCCTGCGAAATTTATCTTGATTATCAGAAATCGTTTTCTGCAAAGCAAAGGTGCCGCTACATGGCGATGAAGTTGCCCCGATCAGGTAGACCTTCATTCTATAGATCTCGGGTTCATTTTCTAAGTCTTCACCTGGCCCCCACAAATATCTAAGAACATCCCGATCATGTGGCGGAACTATTACTTGGTGGAACATGGCTTCAATGTCCGCTGTGAGACCTACTGGCACCGTTGCCGGAATACCGAGTAGAGACTCATTCGCCACCCTTTGGTCAAGTAGGTGTGAATTACTTCGGACCATTCTATGCCAAACGAGGTAGAGTTGTCGAGAAACGCTACGGCTGTTTATTCACCTGCTTGTCTATTAGAGCTGTTCACATCGAAATGACACACTCTTTAGATACGGATTCATTTTTATGCGCATTATCAAGATTTATTGCCAGAAGAGGATGCCCGAAGCGTATTTTTAGCGATAACGGCACAAATTTCCGAGGTGCAGATGCTAGTTTGAGACAGATTATACGTTCCTGGGATACAAATAAAATAAGAAACCACCTCAAAGAACGAGAATGTGAATGGCGTTTCAACCCGACTAGGGCAAGTCATCGAGGTGGTGTGTGGGAACGCATCATAAGATCTATTAAAAGAATCTTAAGAGTGCTTTTATTCCAAAACGTGTTGACCGATGAAACTGCAATTCTTCTTAACTGAGGCAGAATGGATACTGAATAACAGACCTCTGGTTAGAGTGACAGACGATCCTGGTACCCTAGAGGCTCTTACTCCGAATAAGTTATTGTTGATTTATAAAGGATTATCATTCGACGATGCTTTGGTGGATAAGACGTTATTATACAACAAGAGATGGAAAAAAGCTCAAAAATTAACTACTGCATTCTGGAATAGATGGATAAGAGAATATTTACCGACTCTTCAAATAAGAGACAAATAGTTGAAAGTACACGAGAACTTACAACCGGGAGATCTAGTTCTTGTTAGTAACGTCGAAACGAGTAGGGGTCTCTGGCCTAAGGCTATTGTCGAACAAGTAAGTTATGGCCCCGATGGACGAGTTCGTACGGCAAAATTGAGAACCGCAAACGAAGAAATTGTTCGGGACGTACGCAGCTTATGTCTACTAGAAGGAGCCGATTGTCTGACGGCGACGACGACCTTGGACAATGGACGTGGTGCGTGTTTCGGAGGGAGTGTAAAATGTAGTCGATAGACGAACCCACCAATAATAAAGTGAAACGCCCACCACCACATTAACTCCCTTTGACCTTGTGCGACCGTATCTCTTTATTAACCAATCGCAGTTTGATGTTCATTGTGAAACAATATTTGCTTTGTTGACTCATTTTTCCTATTCTCTGGCTACTGTTCGGTATGTTATTTCTCTGTTTTTCCCTGTATTAATAGACCGTACTGTTTGTTTGTACACTAGCGATGTTAATTTATGTTTTAGAAACAGATAAAGTTTATCTAGCCAAATAGCTTGCTTGTTCTGACTTTGGTCAAACCAAGACTCTGTATTCGGTCTAGGGAATAGCTCAGAATTAAACCTGTAGGAAATTGCTTACTACATATAATTTTAGGCTAATTCTCATTTTGCTATTGGATTTACTCCCACTCAATAAATCTACAAGATAAATATAGTTTACATTTGAATCAATATGTTGCAAGTCACTTAACTCAAGAAATCATACATTTGTCAGTCAACTTAATGAAGAGAAGAGAGGTTGGTTAAATTTTTTTATGAATATCAATATGAATACATAAATGAGTTATGAATAATTGACTGTGTGCATTTACAACCAATAAGAGAATAGATGTAAAATTGATTGATCACTGAATTTTGACCAATGTCATGTTTGTCATGTCCTCCTTATGCTGATTGAATTTTATACATCATGTTGCTGTGCGGCCACTAGTCTAAGCGACTCGCCATCGCGTGCACTATGCTGAAATGTAAGTTGGTAGTTGAAAGTAAGTAGTGGATAGGAAACTTTGGACTTAGGTTTCATGTTATTCGGCACTTGTCAGCTAGGTGTACCTGTAATCTTGACGCCATTAATGCTCGATATAATTCGATCAGTACTGAGAAGTACCTGATATTTATGATATTGGTCACTACTCAATGATCAATCAGTTATAAATAATTCTCAGTCCTACAGGAGGTCAATCGTGGCCCGAATAACTCAGTTGTAAAATTTTTGACTCTAAAGTTGGGTGACACTGAATTGAATCTATCATGGAGTATCGGTTCTCTTGAGATCACAATTAAATATTGCTGGTGAGTGTTGAGTAGTACGAAAAGTAGGTGGAGTAGCGTTTCCTGTCGACTACCTCCAATCACCACCGTAAAAGAGAATAGATAAAAATAGTTAACAAGCATGCATGTATTTTCAAACACATATGGGTATATTTCCATGGCAGATTCACTATACGTATCACCGTTAAATGATTAATGTAAATGCAATGGTGTACTTGTTTTCTCGATTGATGATCGTCATTACATGAGTTGAGGTAGTTGAGACATTGTTCGGAAGCCTAAACTAAGGAATGTATTTTTCTTTAGGGACTATTCACCTAATTTCCAACTTAGAAGTCGAAATCACTAAGTGGCTCAATGTTGGGAGTTGAGATCACACAGTACCAGTAATTAAAGGATGTTCGCGGCTCAGTCATTCTCTTAAGACCTTGGAGCCTCTGTGCGACATTGAATTGGAACCAATATTTATCAACTGTCCTGGATATGGGACTTCTATATCCACCACGGAAATTTGACCTCCCTACTTTTTTAAAAAAAAGCACTTCAGTTTTATGTGAACAGTGAATCAAATTTTCATACAAAAAAACACGGGGTTTTAGGTGTACGCATTTAGAGGAAGGAAATTAAACTCTCGTCAGCGCTAGTCATACCTAGGCGATTTAATTAAATGAGTTATTCACTCACAACGTCACACATGTGATCCTTTGTCAGTTAGCAGTTGGGAAATTTTCTAACTTGTTTTTCAAACATGTGTTTATTCTTAGTCTGGGTATTTCAATTCAACAATTTAACAGATTTGCTGTTTTTTCATTGATAGCATTTATAGTTTAACTATATATTCAAAATAAAATACATCGCATAATCATTGAAGTGCTATTATTTTGCATTACATCATGTATTTTTCCCGCTTCACTTCAGATCATCTCCAATGGAAGTATTATCTTCCCTTATTGGCCATGAAGGTAGAGGAAGTGTATTGGCCTTACTTAAAAAGGAGTAAGCATTGTGTGTAATTATCATTCCATGCATTATTAATTGATGATCTGTAAAATGTTTCATAGATGCGGACTACTTGGCTGTGAACTGTTTGATAATCACACTATCAGTGGTTGAAGTTGAATTACCTGGCTTAAAATCAATGGTAATAGTATACAGTTGTATCCATTCTTCGTCTAACTGTAAATCTTGATTTCTGGTATTTCTTTTAATACTCCACTCTTCTCGAATTAATATTCTCTATATTCGTTTTCGTATTGTTTGTTTAAGCCTTCTGATTGATGTTTAGGACTGCAATTGATCAGTCTCTTATTGGCATATGTGCATCCTGTGCGGATTTCCCCGATATTGCTCTAAGTCACAAGTATTATAAGCAAAGGTGGATGGCAGTTAGCAGTGGAACCCAGGACGGTCGTCCCGTCCTATCTGGATTCGATTCCCAGAGTGAGCACCAATTCTGGGATGCAGGTGCATATAGGTGACGAGTCCCAAATGGGACGAAACGTGCGTCCTGGATTTCACCTCCAGCCACCATCCATCTTTGCTCATTCTCTATATTGTCTTTAATCTTGTTATCATTGCTATAATAATTATTTAAATCTGTTTGTGATTTATCATTGTATTATGATATGAACACTTAGGTTAATATACATTTCTTTCAGGTTCTACAATGATTACAATTGATTTACCCTTAACCCCAAAATTAGTTATCAAATTATCCAGTAACCGTTTTTACATTTTTCTCCGATAGTATAACCTATTTATATATACATACTAAATAATTCATAATCGTGTTTCTTTGTGAGTTTTCCAACCATGTATCGGTAGGTTATAGGTGTGAATATTGTTCCGCTTACACTTCAATTTGATAACAACATAATACCATTATAACCATAACATAGGAGTAGGGGAATGCAGTATTGCTCAAAGCCATTTGCACAACTGTATACTTGCTAAATGTTTGTCCTTTATTTTTCAACCCATCAGGTCCACAGATTCGTGTACTTGGCTTCGAGTTACACTCTGAATGTGAAGGCTAGTAATACACTACTTGGTTTCCCTGACAAAACTAGATTGATCGAGGGTTCAAACCTTCGGTTTATCGACTAAAAGTTGAATACCTTAGCCATTAAGTCACTGGTTCATTTTATGAGTATATTGATCACAACAGTAATTTGGTTACACTTGTCTAACTAATAAAATTTCATATCAGAAATTTTTATTTGATACAAAATAAGGGATACATAAAATTGTTGTGTTTCTTTCAATCTCAGTCATCATTTCTATAATCATTAATCAGCATGATATCTATCTACCTATATAAATATATGTTAAACTTATCATTATCGACTTAATTATCACTTAAACTCTTACATATTTGTAGTTTTATTACATAACAGTAGTCTTATAAATTGTTATGAATATTCTAAAACTCATACATGTCAAAAAGGTGGTGACATTACAAATACCTTAATCATACTCAACAATTTGATTAATTCCAAGAAGTATCATTGAATGATCTTAGTGTAGGAGGGTTGCGTGTATGTGTGTGCGTGTGTGTGTGTGCAAGTGTATACATATAACGATTTTCTGTTTTGTTTACATTGATAATAATAATAACATATCATGTATTTATTGATTGTATCATGCATTCTTTTCAGTAGATTTGATTAAAAATGATAAATACCAAAATACACTATCAAAAAGAACACTATTAAAGATTTCACAGGTTGAAATCATGAGTCAGTTGAAGCTAGACCACCATTGAAAACCTGGAAGCACTGGACGGCCGTTTCGTCCTGGTATGGGACTCTTCAGCAGTGCACATCCACAATCCCGCACCCCGCGGGATTCGAACCCAGGACCTACTGGCTTCGCACGCTAGCACTTAACCACTAGACCACTGAGCCGGCATCCAACGGTGTTAATGTCTAACTTCAACCAATCCACGAAGTTGCGCCACCGTACACCATTGTCTTCAGTGAGTTGTTATCTCACAACAGACTGGTTGAACTCCACTGGTAACGGCTTCTCATTACAACTCCAGGAGTTTTTCCTCAAGTCAGTCTCTAGTGAGCAGTTGATTATTATCAGAATGGGTTTTGTGGAGAGTTTATACAAATTTCATAGGTTGAAATCATGAGTGGATTGAAGCTAGACCACCATGGATAAGGTGGAAGCACTGGACGGCCGTTTCGTCCTAGTATGTGACTCCTCAGAAGTGCGCAGCAAGAGTCCCATACCAGGACGAAACGGCCGTCCAGTGCTTCCAGGTTTTCAATGGTGGTCTAGCTTCAACTGACTCATGATTTCAACCTGTGAAATTTCTTAAACTCTCCACAAAACCCATTCTGACTATTAAAGATGTATCTTTTCATTAAATAATCGAATCATTTCATTAGAAATTTATTAATGGGGATGGTTTTCAATAATTAATGGTGTGTTGTATATATTGTGAAGTGTATGTAAACAATGTTTATATAGCTGAAAATAAGGAGTATAATGGAAACAACTGTTTAGTTGGGGTACTGTGGTTCATTTTGAACAGTGCATACACACACAAACACATAAATTTAATAGGTCTCGAAACCACTTAGTAGTATTTTAAAACAATACACTGAGTTGTTATACCGTAGTTCATATGACCGAATTCAGCTTTTATGATTATTAGAGGAAGTTACTACCTGGTTGTGTAGATTAAAAAGGATTCGAGTCTACATGTAAGTGTTTGAGTTGTTCCATTGTTGATATTAAGAACTATAATTTCGATCAGTCAGATGGTTCCTTTTCAGGATTATATTGATCTATAGTCTTGTAGTTACAAGATTTATTATATATGAACTGTAACTTGTAGTAGAAATCAAAACCGTCGTTTATTGTTATTTCGATCTTCCTAGCTGGATGTTGAAGTTCATATTAAAACTCGAGTTCGGTCTCTTTTATTCTCCAAACTTCAGTGTTATCCACTGAATTATGAAGTTCAAACCACGAATAACTTGTTCAACGCATATGAACTTATGCATGTAAAATGTTTTCAGTTTTTCTGTGACCATTTCTCAACCCACCCTTTTTTTAAATACAAAGAAAAGAATTTGTTCATTCTAATTGATTGCCTCAACGCTCACCGTTCAATTAACCCGGTTAACTTCACTAAATCGATTGAGATATTAATTACTCATATCTTAACAATTGTAATGCATGATTCAATAATTGAGGTTAAGAGTAATCTGTGAAAGCCAACAAACTGTCATAAAAATATTGACTTTATTAATGGAGGTGAATATGAAAATCCGATCATTTTGGAGTTTTATGTATTTTCATCAAAATTTCAGTCTGTGCTGTTTAATTAAATTGAATATCAACATAGGATAGATTCATCATCATAAGTATTTATGGTTAGTTTAGAAAGAAAGAGAGGGAGACAAGCATTAAAAAAAGACTCGGTATCTGATAGCTCCTAAATCTTACTTAATATTGTTATTATTAGCCCACTATTAGATACAGACTCGTGTACTTGAATTCCCGTTCACATACTGAATTTGACAGCTAGTGATACAGTTTGGTTACTCGAACTAAAGTGAGGCGGGGTTCAAACGTACGTCTTATTGACTGGAATTCAAAAGTCTTAACCACTGAGTCATAACCTTACTTACACTATATTTGCGTTCGGTAAATACTAATGGCTAATCTATCGCATCTAGGATATACAGACTTACGTAGTATGTCCAGTCAGTAAATAAACTGAGATCGTAAAAGTGTTGTTGTATAAATCGAGTGTACATAGATTATTATCTTCATCAATGACAATGTAGTTGTTCCATCACCGTTTCTATTGCTTAAAAGGAGTCTCTGAAAGTTCTCAAAAGCCTAACTCGATGTTGCACTTGTAAAGTTATGATTTATCATCAGTGACGATTCTTTCAAGGAAGCTAGAAGTTTGAGCGGTGCTGCATCCATTGTACACTTTTAGTCAGTTTTTAATAACGTTGATATGGGTTTGGATCACAAAGATTTCCAAAAGCTCTGTAGTTAAGATAATCATATGCTAGTTAGTGACTAATTTCGAGAAGTAATTCTCGGAGTTCTAGTGTACAACTGTGACCATTGAAGTTCATCCACGTCGGATATAAGGCTATTACTCACCAGTAGAATTGGAAGATGGTTGAACAGTACTACTATTTGATTGGATTGGGATATTAGTCATTATATACCAACTAGGTAGTCTAAGTATTAAGATCTCAATGTCAAGTTCGAAGATCCTAGATTCGATCTGTGACACAATCGTGCGTAGACGGAACATCAGTCCCGTGTTTATTTGTTTTCAATAGTCGTCTAACCAAAATCAGTTCGTGCTGTAAAATATGAAAATTTAATAATCTTCATAAAACTCCTGTTGTAATATTCTGTATTTATTTTTACTAGAATGTAATATCACTGTTTTCACCATAAATTTTAATGTTAATTTCATTTGTAATGAATTGAATTATCCCATTGTTGATAATATGATTGGCATTTGATCAATTCTAGTTAGTATATGTGTATCTTGTCCGGAGTGTCTCGATACAGCTATTATAACACAAGTAAGTATAGAATAAATGCAATGTGACTAGGTGTGGAGTCTTGAATCCACTCTTCATTCTATTTGGAGCTTCTGATTTAGATGTATCTGTTGTGGCTAAATCCGAATCCCGAAGTGAATATCAACTCTGGGTACATCCAGCCGATGTATCCGGATTAGGACGAAACACGCATTCTGATTTCAGATATTATTCATATTCTGTATGAAGTTCGATGTGTTTATTATTCCTTCTTCGTGACCTGTCGTTTTTTTCTAGAAATCTTGCCGTTTCACTTAGCGCGGGCGTTACTTGTACATCAGATTTTGATAATTCTAGTTTATGTACAATTTTTATGGTTAATATTCAACTTACTGATTATGGTCGTGATCATATTTTTCAAGTAAGTCATTATTTCAGAATTCTTGTGTATTCTTTTCCAATTCAATGTTATTATTTTGAGTAGATTTTTCAAGCTTAATGTATTGTTAATCGGAATATACCGTTTATTATTATTATCATCATTGCTGTACAAAAGGTTTATTTATTTATTTTAACACATAAATATTGGTACAAGGAGGCACCAAATACATATGCGCCACACAAATCTCATTCGATATGTGTGAGGGCTGTGATACTACCCGGGTGCACAAACCCAAGCAGGTGGTTTTCTTAGGGGGCCATACCCCGAGCCTTTGACCTAAAGGTCTGACCCACAAGACAGTGGAGCAACGTAAGGAGATGCAGTCACATAGTAGCCGGTGACCAACAATTGGTTCATACGCTATTTGTTCCCGCAGGATATTGGAGCCAATGTGCACCATTGGTTTGGAATCAGGGTTTTCCATCTCCCCTAGGTGGACGTTTTATGTCCACCAACCTGGTTAAAGCGCCGGACGTTCGCTTTTCGCCCTCTCAATTTCGTAAACAACAGTAATGCCACGAGAATGCAGTGAGTAAGACTTCCCTGGCAGAGGCTTTATACGCGTGACCGTGTGAGAGAATTTTGAGAGGGTGAGCGGACTTTCCCCACTCTCGGCCATACCAGGTCATTTGGGGGCTGTACTAAAGGTGATTACAAATTAATCTCCTGATTACGAAAGAAAAGTCAGTCGATCAGTTGATCGAAATAAACGTAAAATTCTCGGATAATTGTAAGTCAGCCCAAGTTACCACACCACATTAAAGAAATGATATAGTAACAATTTTAATGAGAAATGTTGAATATTGAGAATATATTTTAAGAGAGAACGGAAAAGTATGTGTAAACAAAAATGGAAATGGAAGATCTAAAAGAAGATCGAAATTGAATGCACCTGGATTACGACTACTGATTCTAAGTCATGTCACTCAACATCTCCAACTATACTGGTCACGATAATTACATCTACTCTAAACATGTAGGATGTACTAACCAACATTTTTACTTATTCCATTTCTAGAATAAAAGATGCTACGATAAAACAGCTGTTTAGTGTTACCGAATGTTTTTAAACATTACGTAAGCTATGATCAATCTGTAATGAAATACAACTTATTTTTATTCCGTCTGTCATTTGCGTTATTGTTATCTTTACCAATTTGTTTATATGTAGGTTTGTGGAATATTATTTGATTATGTAAAAATTCTACTGTACTCAGCGTTAAATTCTACATCGATATCTTTAATGAATGGTGGTTTAGAAGGTAATAATAATAATAATGGTGAACGCGTTCATACAAATCACTGTCATAAACATACGTTCGCTACATATCTACCAGAATATCAAATGGTTAAAACAGCTAATTTTCTATATACAGAACCGGAAGAAGCTGAAGATACAGTGGTTAATCTAGCCAATATGTTACATCTTGTTAAATGTGAACATGTTTATTCTGGTTACAGGCTATTAAAAAAGCCAAATATAGAAGTAAGTCATATTACTATGATTAGTATTGCTATGCATTAGACTTGACTATTATTACTTAACTTAGTGTGTTTAATGGTGGTCGGGCTTACCTATTGTGATACGATTCACTAGAATCATACTGATAGAAACAATGGATCTTTGAGATCTCCTACTATGCTCGAGTAGTTGGTGAAAATAGGTTTTCTGAGAGAAATCATACTTTTGATTGGATTGGATTGGGTGATATATTTTCCACAGCTTACTTACATCTTGTTATAACTGTGAGACAGTAGCAGCTGATTAGAGGGTAGCGAATTATCGATCGGACCAAGGACGCGTAAACACGTAGAACGACCTAGAGTTCTGATTGGTCCCGCCTCCCTATCTAGACCAGTAGTTGAGTCCAGAACGAAAGTCACAGCCTCGGATATATGAATCATTATATTTCAAACATACCTTGTTTATATACCAGTCAAACAAACCACATCATACCATAAAATATAAAACAACATTGTACAATATTGGCCAGTAGGAAAATGACACGTGAAATAAGTACTGACCAATAAGAAAATAATACCATGTCCAAGTCCAAGAATAGCATCAGGCTAAATAGGATAATTTCTGGGATATTTTCCTGAATATCCCAACACCTCCCCTTTTTTTGGAGATCCGGAGTTGATATCCGGATTTTGGATTTCTTCGCGTCTATCCTCCCCCGCAGAATAATGTTGGGTCCTCGTATACCCAAGTAACAGTTAGTGTGACTCTATTTAAAGCATATTTCCCGCATTGAGTAGAGAGTCCACTAGAGCTGACTAGATGCTGAGGATCAGCGACAGTAGATATGAGGTCATTAGAGTTTGATTCTTGTGAAACATTCCCATCAGATCTCTTCGAAATTCCATTAGTGGATAATACGTTACCAAAATAATCAGCATCTATCAAAATTGCATTAGATTTCTGACCATTGTTTGATGCATGTGACACATTCTCTGGCAAAACAAGAGAATCTTTTCGTGAGCTGGATATGCCACTGTCTGTACATACTGTTTCGGGAATAACGGAGTTCGAATCCATTACCAGGCATGTTTCTGGAATAGAAAGTACTGGACCACTGGGCGCATCATGGATGACTGTTTCGTTTGAAGTACAGTTCATCGAGGATTCATAGAGGCTGCTGTCATTTTCCAGCTCACTGTGTAACTCAGATATCAATCCGTCCACTTCCGTCGCATCTTCATAGCGTGACTGATTTAGCAGCTGCGTGCGGAATTTGACTAATAACTCCAAATGTCGTTCAAAGAGCAGCTGTAATCGATCGGAAGGGAGAGTCATTTTTTCGAATCAGCACCTGTGATGAGAATTACTGTGTGAATAATGACCAATGTCGTTGAAGGACAGTGACGACAATCTTGATGCTGATTGGTTGAATAATTAGACTGGATTTCGTCCAATTACAGAATGACTTTGGATTGTATTTTTTCTTCACCCCGTCGCCAATTGTTATAACTGTGAGACAGTAGCAGCTGATTAGAGGGTAGCGAATTATCGATCGGACCAAGGACGCGTAAACACGTAGAACGACCTAGAGTTCTGATTGGTCCCGCCTCCCTATCTAGACCAGTAGTTGAGTCCAGAACGAAAGTCACAGCCTCGGATATATGAATCATTATATTTCAAACATACCTTGTTTATATACCAGTCAAACAAACCACATCATACCATAAAATATAAAACAACATTGTACAATATTGGCCAGTAGGAAAATGACACGTGAAATAAGTACTGACCAATAAGAAAATAATACCATGTCCAAGTCCAAGAATAGCATCAGGCTAAATAGGATAATTTCTGGGATATTTTCCTGAATATCCCAACACCTCCCCTTTTTTGGAGATCCGGAGTTGATATCCGGATTTTGGATTTCTTCGCGTCTATCCTCCCCCGCAGAATAATGTTGGGTCCTCGTATACCCAAGTAACAGTTAGTGTGACTCTATTTAAAGCATATTTCCCGCATTGAGTAGAGAGTCCACTAGAGCTGACTAGATGCTGAGGATCAGCGACAGTAGATATGAGGTCATTAGAGTTTGATTCTTGTGAAACATTCCCATCAGATCTCTTCGAAATTCCATTAGTGGATAATACGTTACCAAAATAATCAGCATCTATCAAAATTGCATTAGATTTCTGACCATTGTTTGATGCATGTGACACATTCTCTGGCAAAACAAGAGAATCTTTTCGTGAGCTGGATATGCCACTGTCTGTACATACTGTTTCGGGAATAACGGAGTTCGAATCCATTACCAGGCATGTTTCTGGAATAGAAAGTACTGGACCACCGGGCGCATCATGGACGACTGTTTCGTTTGAAGTACAGTTCATCGAGGATTCATGGAGGCTGCTGTCATTTTCCAGCTCACTGTGTAACTCAGATATCAATCCGTCCACTTCCGTCGCATCTTCATAGCCTGACTGATTTAGCAGCTGCGTGCGGAATTTCACTAATAACTCCAAATGTCGTTCAAAGAGCAGCTGTAATCGATCGGAAGGGAGAGTCATTTTTTCGAATCAGCACCTGTGATGAAAATTACTGTGTGAATAATGACCAATGTCGTTGAAGGACAGTGACGACAATCTTGATGCTGATTGGTTGAATAATTAGACTGGATTTCGTCCAATTACAGAATGACTTTGGATTGTATTTTTTCTTCACCCCGTCGCCAATTGTTATAACTGTGAGACAGTAGCAGCTGATTAGAGGGTAGCGAATTATCGATCGGACCAAGGACGCGTAAACACGTAGAACGACCTAGAGTTCTGATTGGTCCCGCCTCCCTATCTAGACCAGTAGTTGAGTCCAGAACGAAAGTCACAGCCTCGGATATATGAATCATTATATTTCAAACATACCTTGTTTATATACCAGTCAAACAAACCACATCATACCATAAAATATAAAACAACATTGTACAATATTGGCCAGTAGGAAAATGACACGTGAAATAAGTACTGACCAATAAGAAAATAATACCATGTCCAAGTCCAAGAATAGCATCAGGCTAAATAGGATAATTTCTGGGATATTTTCCTGAATATCCCAACACCTCCCCTTTTTTGGAGATCCGGAGTTGATATCCGGATTTTGGATTTCTTCGCGTCTATCCTCCCCCGCGGAATAATGTTGGGTCCTCGTATACCCAAGTAACAGTTAGTGTGACTCTATTTAAAGCATATTTCCCGCATTGAGTAGAGAGTCCACTAGAGCTGACTAGATGCTGAGGATCAGCGACAGTAGATATGAGGTCATTAGAGTTTGATTCTTGTGAAACATTCCCATCAGATCTCTTCGAAATTCCATTAGTGGATAATACGTTACCAAAATAATCAGCATCTATCAAAATTGCATTAGATTTCTGACCATTGTTTGATGCATGTGACACATTCTCTGGCAAAACAAGAGAATCTTTTCGTGAGCTGGATATGCCACTGTCTGTACATACTGTTTCGGGAATAACGGAGTTCGAATCCATTACCAGGCATGTTTCTGGAATAGAAAGTACTGGACCACTGGGCGCATGATGGATGACTGTTTCGTTTGAAGTACAGTTCATCGAGGATTCATGGAGGCTGCTGTCATTTTCCAGCTCACTGTGTATTTCAGATATCAATCCATCCACTTCCGTCGCGTCTTCATAGCATGAGTGATTTAGCAGCTGCGTACGGAATTTGACTAATAACTCCAAATGTCGTTCATAGAGCAGCTGTAATCGATCGGAAGGAAGAGTCATTTTTTTCGAATCAGCACCTGTGATGAAAATTACTGTATGACTAATGACCAATGTCGTTGAAGGACACTGACGACAATCTGGATGCTGATTGGTTGGATAATTAGACTGGATTTCGTCCAATTACAGAATGACTTTGGATTGTATTTTTTCTTCACCCCGTCGCCAATTGTTATAACTGTGAGACAGTAGCAGCTGATTAGAGGGTAGCGAATTATCGATCGGACCAAGGACGCGTAAACACGTAGAACGACCTAGAGTTCTGATTGGTCCCGCCTCCCTATCTAGACCAGTAGTTGAGTCCAGAACGAAAGTCACAGCCTCGGATATATGAATCATTATATTTCAAACATACCTTGTTTATATACCAGTCAAACAAACCACATCATACCATAAAATATAAAACAACATTGTACAATATTGGCCAGTAGGAAAATGACACGTGAAATAAGTACTGACCAATAAGAAAATAATACCATGTCCAAGTCCAAGAATAGCATCAGGCTAAATAGGATAATTTCTGGGATATTTTCCTGAATATCCCAACACATCTCAAATGATATTTTCTGTTATTTCGACTGGGACTTAGGGTTATCATTAGTCGGGTTTCTAAAGAATACATTTCATCTTTTTCCGTGAATCTCTGTTGAGGAAAATTAATTTTGAGAAATATGGATTATGTAGGACGAAAAATCTTTCGCTTGAAGGTCGTGCATAATCGTCATCAAGCAAGTATTCCTTTGACTCCATGGTTACTCTTAGAGATTGGAAACGTCATCGATGCTAAGTATCTTTTTCATATTCCTCACGAGAAAATATACTTTTGTAATGTGTTGACAAACAAGGAGTATTTACACACCTCTAACCTCTCACGAGTTTCGCCTGTATGTTGTATATTCCACATTTTCATCATTTGTTGGATCATTTCTTTTATATTTCCGTAATTGTTGGAGGAGGGATCGAATTAGGAATTATTAAGAATAAATTTTAAATCTCCTGTTGTTTGTCTTTTGTGTGTTGTTACTTCAGGTTGTCGAATCATGTAACAGAATCTTTGTTCTATGTAAAAGTATCTTATTCACCAAGTACAGATTTATACATTGTACTTCGTACTATGATTTTCGATTTAACCACGCTAGCCATACTACTAGTCAGGGGTTACCTAAGGCCGATGTACATGCGTACCAGGTTCTATGTTAAGACTTACTGACTGCCTGTAACATCGTTTTGTTATCATTATGTATCCACTCTTAATGGTGATTATCTTTATTATTTGTATTATTTCAGTTGTACATTGACCTATTGAAATTGATGACACCAAATCGTGCAGCTATATTCTTTCTGTCATCAACGTTTGCATCTTCAGTGAAAGATGATGAATCAAGATTAGAACATGAACCATGGTTTAATGTAGCTTATCAAAAAGAAGGTATGTTAATTAGTATATCTTTACATGATCGTTGTTCTTTGTTGATACTGATGATGATGATGATGATGACGATAATTCCTTTTGCTGTCCATTTTTATCGTGTTAGGTTAGTGGTATTTTCTTCTCCTCATAGCCGGAGTATAACAGAAGCTCCCCTGAAGCTAGTCGTTGTTGTCCAACTTGCGTCCAATGTGTTTCACTGATCCCAAGCACCTCTAGGTTGTATCTCCTAATTTCTGAAGCGATTTGGAGGACTCTCTCAATCTTCCACATTGTATGATCATTCCATGTACCTAAATAAATGGTTGCTCTGGTTATCAGAAGGGGTATCGGCCTCGTGACTTCCGAAGGAACTCGACTTTCAGCATGAAGCGTCATAACTCTTTCAAATGAGAATACCTTCTGACTCCCAGGGCAGAGTTTGAAAGGTTTGAATACTTTTTTCTGGTTAGCGTTCTTCAGAGAGAGTTAGTTTTCCACGGGATGGGGTCACTAAAACCATGCCCAACACACCTTTATCCGGGCTTGTGACCGGCAGTAGCCCCCTGAGGGGACTCCAGGCGGAGTTTTGGTTGAGTTCTACTCTATTAAAATTCACCCGTTAAATACATTAGCTGATAAAAACCAATATTGTAAAGCTAGAATTTGTTGTAAACATTTGCAGATTAATATAAATGACAGCTACTTCCTGTTTAGATGTATATTTTGTAAACATATTTCTCTTCGAATGCTTATCCAATTGGGAATCGTTGAGGAAGTCCTAGAAATCTGTCATCAAAGTATTTAGAACGCCGTTAAACCTTATATCTGTATCAGTGTCGAATAGAAGCATCGGAGAAACATCTAAAAATTCCAGGATAACCTATCACTGTTTTAGTTGCATATTTACCTGTGCTACTACTATGTTCAGTATAGTTTCAGAAGCCAAATGTCATGTATAACTCTAAATGCCCTCATTTTTTCTGCACGAAATGTAACCTTGAAATAAAGCTTTTTTACTCTCAATTTGTGCCTTCTCTTGTTTGTTCCAGTTGACGTGTCGAAGTAGTCTGTGAGTCATAAGAACCGTCTAGGAAGATAGTTTAGGCGTATCGGTAGCAAGACATATTAGAAATTCTATTGCATTGTTGGAGTTTCGTCACTATAATTAAACATATAAAGTTCACTTTGATTATTTCTTTACATTAATACTATTGAATACTATTTGTTCTTTTAAAAATAGATATACCTGAACATATCATGAACGGTTGGATCCATTCAAAACCAGACGACGAACAATTACATCTTCCCTATGAAAATAAATTTTTGAGTACGTTTTTGATTGCTTAAAAAATAGTGTAGTGCTTGTATATATTTTTAGTATATGGGTTTAGCAACAGAATCCACTAAGCGTGTATTTCATCCTATTTGGTATTCATCAGCTGAGAATGTACCTGTGATAATTCACTGTCGTTGATAGGCTTGTTGATACTTGAATGCAATCACTTTCGCTCCAAACGGGGAAGGTGACATTTCTGTCGGTTGCGTTTTTATTATAAACCGGACACCACGTAAAGAAATATTTCGAGTTGTTAAGTATCGGACGGGCTTTTGTCGTCTTTGTTTTCTGGGGAATTTTTTTAGAAGTGTTCACTTTATAGTTTCGATGTTCTTGATTCGATTACATAAAGTTGTATGTGACTGTGAGTATCTGTTATTGATTAGTCGTCAACTAATTCAGTTAATGCAGAACTTGACACCGTTGGATATCGGTTTAATGGTCTAGAGGTCAAGCATTCGCGTACGAGATCGTGGATGCGCACTTCTGAGGAGTTTCATACTAGGACGACACGGCCGTCCAGTGCTTCCAGGTTTCCAATGGTGGTATAGCTTAAATTGATTGGTTAATTCAACTGCTAAAATACTACAATCTCCACACATTCCCTCCCCCTCCGTGTACATCGATTCAAGTTGTCACACTGAATCAACACAGCCATATAAAATTATCAAGACAAATATCAGGCTATTAGAAGTAATAACACAGTATCAATTACATTAGAAATCATTAAGCATAAAAAGTATAATTCAAGAAGAAATAATGAACGTATAAAATAATTTTCAAAGCTCAACATTCAAAAGATGACAATCAATCAAAATATATTTGCCATCTATACAACCGATTCTAAGCCATATCATTTAATATTGTTCCTAATCATTGGTTACGATAATCACACCAGATTAAAACAGCAAACTATGTGGTTGTTTTAATCTACAAACATGATATAAATTGCCAGTCAATGAATGATTTTTATAAACTGATGATATCACATTTTAATTATGGGTCACTTATAACATGATCTAATATTTTAATATTTATCTTTTTGTTGTATTCTGTGTAGTTCTTGTTAAAAAGTTTTCTTTAAAAGATACAAATTTCATTGTTTGCCTTAGTATACCCTGCGTTTATATTTCATTTTCTTCCACTGTAGCAACGGATTTTAGTTTATTGGATTCAAAAACTGATATGAAGGTTAGTGTTCGTTTTTTTTGTTTTCTTTGTTTGAAAAAATTCCTTTTTTTTTCTATCTTCCATATATTGAATTGTAATTTCAGTATATGATAATATATAATTGCACTTCAAACACCAACACATTATCCACTTAGCTACTCAGCCCTAATGACAGCTCGCTTGTGCAACGGGCTCGAGTCCCTGAGTGAACATCAACTTTGGAATACAGGTACGTCCAGCTGATGAGTTCTAAATAGGATGAAACACGCGTCCTTGGTCCTCCTGCTAATCATATTCCATCAATTCTATGTGAACTTTTGTCATAGTGCTTATATCGAAGTAATATTCACAAGATATATATATGCCAACTAAGACTGATCAGATTTCAGTTAAAATGTGAACAACGGTATAATTCAAACCATTAAAAATTAAATTATTAATTAGACCTGTTAGTGACGTCTTTTAATTTCATTTTATGAATTATAACCAATGACCTGCGAAACACCCCGTATCTGCCAAATTCGTTAAGTTTTTGATAAATGTTTTTCACTTTCTGTGAGTCATTAGTGCTGGTCGAATTCTATCGTTCAAAAATGCTGCTCAACTAGTGCACGGGTCATGTTCTAGTCTTTAAAACCACTGGGTGAGTAACTTGATTTCGAATTCATCTCAGAGATAGACGAAGATAGCATCAATTCCCTAAAGATTATAGGCACAATTTTCCCTATGAGTACCAACTCGAACATAACCATTGTTCAGGGAATCCTACCGACTACTTCCAAACACCTAACAACATTTCTTATTTACGTGTTTAGTATTTCACACTTACGTATGTCACATTTGACACATAGGTCGTAAACGTTCTTCCAACCAATTGTATTATCTTTTAGCATCATTTAGTCTGGGGAGTGTTGCGACGAAAGAGGAGACATATATCAAAGAATTCGATCCCGTGATCGATCAACAGTCATATGTCACATTGTATACCATTGCTCATCATCTATCGATGAACATTATACTTGTCATCTATCCATATATATATATATATATATATATATATATATATATATATATATATATATATATAAAACAAATAATCAAACCTAAGGAATATGTATAGTTTGTTTAAATATGGAATGAGTAAAATCGAGGTCATTTTGAAGAAAATATTTTATGTGTTTCCGCCTTTTTTTTGTTGTTGCGAAAACTATCAGAATATACGTAGTGCCAAGTTGTTGTTTTCTTGTTTTATGTACTGTGAGTTGAGTAAGTTAAATTATGAAGCTGGTTCTGGACAATAATCTCGTCATCAACGCCTACTTTATGTAAAGGTCAACTGTTTAGTTAATTCGCAATCATTAAACTGATCTGTTCTGATGACTTTGTGGATGAATGGCTGTTTGTGGAGGTTTCCCGGCTTTATGTTTTCGTATCTTTGTTAAGCAAATTGTTTTGTTGACATATGACTACGCGATTGATTGGTAAATAGGGTCTATTTCATTATATCTATTGATTGTAGACTGGTCTGAATGGAGTGCTTCGCGAAATTCGCTAACATTCTTTGAATTTCCTAAGTTCGGAGTTTTCCCATTTTCATAATAAAATTCGAATCTGTAGTATGCATTTATGTAAGTGGTATCAATTCATACGGTTATCTTTTATTAGACGTTTTTCGTGTATTAGTGGATGGACCGGAGATCCATTTTGTCCAATGACCTAACAACAAAGGAAGACAAACGCAATGCACCTTCTGCAACAAAAATTACACCGTATAAAAGTGGACACCCTTTCATCGGGAAAATTCTTTAGTTGCTCAGTTACCAGGTATAGATTCATATACTTGGCTGCAAACTACATTCCAAGCAAAACGGCTAGTGTTAATATACGGTTGCCCGAACTGGAGCGGGGTTCGAACCCTGGATTTAGTGACTAAAAATCGAATGCCTTATCTACTGAAAAACCATCCTATTAGGAAAAATATCAAAATCACACATGTGTATATATTAGATTAAGAAAGAAGGTTAGCGTGATTATGGTGTTATTATTAAAATATGAAGTGGTTCTCAGTTGTCCCTTTAGATAGTATTGCATAATATTGGCATTTTACTTCTTTCTGTATGTTAACTGTTTATGTATATTCAGCAACCTGTGGATTTAAACTTGGAACCTGGTGCAGAATCACGTCTAAAATATGGTCATTTATGGTTTCAACAAAGTACTCGTTTCAAATGTCCTAAAGGTAATTTTTGTATTAGTTTGATAAGAATAGTGTACTCTTTAAAATAAATATTACTAAAATTTCGCTTTTTTACGTAATGAGTTTGTGTTCTTAAATTCCGATATAATTATGTTGGATACCTGATTACTTGACATTGAATTTTAACCGCTTTCTGGTGCCTTAGAAATCTACACTTAAATCTCTAAAGGTAAGTAAAAGTCGAAATTATGAAAATAACCTTTACTTCCAAGGTTAGTTTAAGTATAAAAAGAATGAATATTCATTGGTTTTGGTGGAGTTTTGTTCTCTGAGCTAGATGGTTTGGTCGTGGAACTTCAGACTTCTATCTGAAGTTTGTGCTGATGATGTCGTTCAGAAGAACGATGAAAGCTCCACGACCAAACCATCTGGCTCAGAGAACAAAACTCCACCAAAATCATCCACCTGAGCTACAAATCTTCTCTACCATTCATTGGTTTATAGGCTTTGATCTGGATATTCTAGAAGCTTCTAAAACGATGAGAAAATTATTTAAATAAATTGGTAATTATCTAGTCAGGATGTGATATATAATCACTTTATAAGAAGTTTTCATCGAATGGTGATTAGACGAATGGTTTTCAGTCTTTATTACATTTCTGAAAAATGTGAAGAATTCTCAAACACTTTCAAGAGATAGTTGTAATGATGAAGTTGTAATGATGCCTTTCGTTCCACACATTATATACTGATGATTTTATACAAAATAAGAAAACTTATTGAGTAAAAAAAACGCAACCTTTTTAAAAAAAAATATCGTTACTGATTTAAGCTAAAAATACTTTCCATTATAATCTTTGTTAAATTTCTGATGGAGATTAAATTACGTTTAACCCGCAAACAGATTCATCTAGAAACTGTTGATATCAGAGCTATTAAATACAGCTATCATATGGCGTTACATATTCGAAATATTTTCTACTGAGAAACTGTTTGACAGCCTGACAATATCGTTATTCTTTGATCATTGACAGTAATAGTGCGGTGTATGCTACTTATATTGACAGGTATAATTAGTATGTAATATCAATATAAAGTAGATTGCCTTTCAGCAGAAGATTGACAAGATCGAAGTAAGGAGAACAGAAATGTAAATAGAATGTAATTTTAATAGCAACCGGAATTAAGGAACGATGATGTTTGTGAGAGAAAACAACCGCTACAGCCAACATCACCCTACCAAAACACTTTATTCGACATCACCAGACCACCTTAAACGGCGCCTCCTCTCCCGGCCCTCGCGACGGCGTCCTCAAAACCCCCACTCCCTACCTCTTGGTTGGCAGAGACACTAAATGTTGTGAACAATAACACAAGTGGGGGAGAACCGATTGTATTTTGCCATAAAATTACGGAGTTCTTTGGTAAAATGTGCAAACCATACGTTCGATTCTTCATTTGCAAATTCTCCATCATCTGTCTCAAAGTCCGTCTAAAAATTTCACTTAATTAGTGTCAAATTGAAAATTATTTCATTCTGGACATGTGAATCGGTTAGGGGAAATATGATCTTATCGAAAATGAGATTATTTCGTTTGAATTTCAGTTTTGATGTATTATCGTTTGCATGTATATTGTTGTGCTTTGATAACATCATCTATATAGTTTTATTGTTCAGTCATTAGTTTTCAGTGTCAGTTATCAGATATGTGCAATATTCGTGAAACTCTTTCTTTATATGTGGTTTATTATTCTGATATGAATACCTTTTCTTAGTGGTTATGTCTGTGATTGTGATGCTTAGTGTGAAGCGAGCTCGAGTATCCTAACAGACCGAGGATTGGGTTCCATAATGCTGTAACCAGTCAATTAGTCAATCGTAGACGGTGAAGGTCTAACGCGAATGTTATATTTCACATCAATACAACATATCATCTGACTATATACCAGTCAATAGTTATTCTAAGCCTCGTCAACTGATTCAATTTTTCTCCCATGTTATACCATATGCCCTGGGTAATATTAGCTGTCTTTATTTCCACCGTATATGAACAGTACCTTGATGGCATATACAGTCAAATACTGCACAGCCCACGTTTACATTTAACCTTCAGTCATATTTTCCAGTGGTCTTGAAACATAATTCTTCGTCGAGACTTTTGATCTATTTAATATAAGCGAGTCATTATCATCATTATATCGTCACACTTCATCTGTGGAGTTAAATCATCACTGAAGATTGGACAGAATAATATGATTAGCCATGATTTATTGAAGTATTAGACTATCTGCTGTTGCTAGACCTCCGTTTGTTATTAAAAATGGAATCTAGGATGACAAGTGTTTCTTCCTAATTTGGATTTGTTAGCTTGATGTACCTGAGCATTACAGTTCTACTATTTGTCTTTACCAATAATGATTTATTATTGTGCCCTTCATTGATTCATGAACTGATCTAATTTAGGCCACCATTAAAAACCTAGAAGCAATGGAAGGCCTCTCCGTCCTAATATGAGACACGTTAGCGACAGACATCCGCATGCGGCAATCGAACCCAGGGCCCTCATGATCTTGCGTGGCCGCTTAAATTCTTGACCACTGAGCTGGAAGCCGATGGTGTTAATGTCTAATTTTAGTCGATCGACGACATTGTGCCATGGTTTCCTGATATCTTTGGTGGATAGCCCCCAAATGCCCTGGTACGGCCGAGAGTAGGGAGAGTCCGCTCTCCCTCTCGAAATACTCTCACACGGCCACGCGTATATAGCCTATGCCAGGGAAGTCCTACTCACTGCATTCTCGTGGCGGGGGTGTTGTTTACGAAAATGAGAGGACGAAAAGCGAATGTCCGGCGCTTTCACCGGATTCCAAACCAATGGTGCACATGGGCTCCAGTATCCTGCGGGAACAAATGGCGAATGAACCAATTGTTGGTCACCGGCTTCCATGGGACTGCATCTCCTTACGATGCTCCACTGCCTTGTGGATCGGAACTTCAGGTCAAAGGCTCGGGGTGTGGCCTCCTAAGAAAACCACCCACTTGGGTTCGGGCACCCGGGTAGTATCACAGCTCTCACACATATCGAATGAGATTTGTGTGGCGCATATGTATTTGGTGCCTCTTTGTACCATTATCTATGTGTTGAAATAAATAAATAATCTTTGGTGGATAACTGTCTCACAACCGATACAGTTTAGCTCCAACGGTCATGACTTCTCAGTAGGATTCCGAGAACCTCTCAAAGCGAGTTCATTTCTCACAGGCAGGGTCTCGAGTGCCCACTGCTGAGGAGTTCCATAATAGTATGAAATGGTGATTTAGTGCTTCCGGTTTTTAAATGCGTGGTTTAACATTGAGTATTGGTTCATGGTTTCAATGAAATTCAGTAGTTTCAACAACCCCATACTGATAACTAATGTGTTCATTTTTGTTTTCTTTCTTTTCACAGCTTCTGTAATGATCCATCTTTGGTCGGATATTGTGTCTAAAACAAAAGAAACGTAAGTAATGTAACACGAAAATAATTTTTTACTATATATACATACATGTATATAGTTAAGAAGATTTGTAGCGTGAGGGATGATGATTTGGCTATTGAACTTTCATTTTCCTTCTGAACAACATCACTGTCATTGTTAGAGCATTCTTCATGTAGAATTAAGTTTTTCAATTATTCCACAAGCGTTAGATCAGTTTGATTTTGGTGGCATTATTTGTAAGTGATTGTCTTGGTAGATTTTATTGTTTTCCTTGTGTTCTTGTATTCATACTGACTGCCTAGTTCGGTTGATCTCTCATCACGTTGTTCATTCACCACTTTCAGTTAGCTTTATAGATCGAATTTAATTCGATGTGCTTACTGGTTATTACTGATTGTTATAACCTCCGTGAGTATATTTTTTTAGAAATTTTCCGTTTATTTCCTCTCTCTAGAATTTCGATAATTTCCCAGTTAAATTCATGGGTTGATATCATTGATAGGATATATCGTGTCGTTTCACTAATTATATTTATTCTTACACGCCTAAGTGAAAAGAACGTCTACTTTGTCCAATATAGTGTTTATTACAGTCTATTTCATGATTTATATCAGTCAGTTAGCTACAACATAGGACCACGTACATATATGTATGGAGCAGTCTAACTTTCCATACTTCACAAGATGAACACTAAATTCATAGAAGCAGTCACTTCAATGGTAGTAATATATGAAAAAAATGATTGCATATACGAATATGATACAGGAAGAAATAATTAGTTCGTAGAAAGAAAGGTATGAAGTAGTTGGTTTGGTCGCCCTTAACTTTCTTCCAACCGTTTCCAACACTAGTCAGCATTGCGCGTCGTGGTAATCAATCAGTATTCGGGAATATGTATATATAGCATAGCCCAACCATCTCAGTCGATGAAAATTCTCATTTGTCTTCTTTCTTTAGTTTGTATATTTTGATCAGCGTAAATTGGAGTGATGTAATAAACATATTTCCATTTTTATGATCTTTTTTCGTTTTTCTTTTCAAGTTAAACCGAACACAGTATAAATAATGATAATTTCTTTCGTAGATAACCTTCACTCTCCCTATTTTACATCATACGGTAGTTCCCTTGATACATGAGTAGATTGGGTTAGCTTTTTCGTTTAAACGAGCGTATAATCGGAGGTTATTCACAATGTTATCAATGTTTAGTTTGTTTGTTATAATCATCACTTATTAGTGGGTTATTTACATTAGAGATTACATTACAAACCCTTGCAACTATATGCACATATTCACCTGAAAATACTCGGAATTATAAGAAACATAATACTAAATAAACAATAAAACATTGCGGGTAACCTTAGTCTTAATGTGTATGAGTTTGTGTTCCAAATTACAGTTTTGGTCTTCAAAAATACCAGTTGATCGTTTTCAACGCGGTTATCAGTTTGCTTAACATTGCGTTACATGAATGTTGGTTGACATAGAATAAAAATCCAACGTTTATTCTCAATTACTTTCATCACTCAGATTGGTTGAGAAAGTTCTGTGCAGATCGATCTTATTGTTGAGTTATTTTCGTGATTGACTGATCTCACGGCGGAAGTCGAAGATCCTAAGTTTGACCTATTGTGCGATCGTGCGTATGCATCGTTGAGGGTTTCTATAGTAAGAATAACCAGGTATCTTTTACCCCCTGGTTATAAATCGCTCCACGGTTACCATCAGTCTGTAAAGAATAATATCTACTTATCAGATTATTTTCAGTACTTGTATATTTACTGTTTTTTCGTGAAATGATAATTTATCATAATCTGTAGGTTATTATTTTGAACAAATACCAAATGATTTGTTTCAAAGCCACACCTCATTTTTGACTTGAAATACTGGGAGTCCAATAAGAATTTTCAATTGAGTGCTGTTGAATTAACAGTAAATCCTATTCATTCTTTCCTTTTTCTATTAGGAACTTACTGGAATTTCAGTCTATCTATAGTCTCATAGGTTAAGTACTTCACATATGACATTAAATAATTCATCAAAGCGTACGTACCAGTCAAATTTGAGAGTTCACTCTAATTCACGTCCACAAATACTCACTATTCAGTCAATGTGAAATAAACAAATTTCATTCAATCAACGTAGACCATCATTTTCTTTTTACATAAAAGAATGTCTGATCTACACAATTTTGTTTGTTAAAGGTTGATTTCGTTGATCTGTCTTCTTTCCCAGTGAATTCTGGGTTCGACTGAAGCAGGGACAACTGACGTGTAGTCGTATAATATATGAATTCATTTCTATTTCGAGGTTTCTCATCAGCTGCTTACAACCTCTAAACAAAATACCACTCATCATTCCAAAAAGCCAGTGTACATAAATTACATGTCATATTATCGGAAGCGTTCTCATCAGTGGAGATAAATGGAAAGAGAGTAATAAGTATGGAAGAATTATAATAGATGTTAAACAATTTGAATATTTAGGCGAGACTATAATTTATGTATGAAGCGATCAGATTTAAGATAATGAGTCTTTGATTTTGGGGCAAAATCCATTCATCCATGTGGACGAATAGCATTTTGACACAATAGCTGATGTTAGTTCGTGAAGAAAACTCTTACTCTAATTCCTAACTTCTAACTCGAACTCCTCATCTTAATTCCTCACAATGATTTTTAACCCTCGTTTGGTTCTAAGTAAGTAGGTGAATTTTCTGACTTTCACTTTAGCTCTGCTCAAGGGTATTCCATGAATGATAGTCTTACCAATTATAGTTCACCATGTCAAAGGAAGATTGATAACTGAATCATTTTAGGTGCACAAATTTGGTTTGAATCTTGATTCCAGAAATTGCTTCAGCGAAAAATAGTAGATTTGAAGTTTCTTGTTGATTGATTATCTTTAAGGAAATTGAGATATCAACACCATGCAGGTTGTAAATCAGATAGGGTGCAACCGCACTCATGAAAACGTGTTGTCATCTGAGTCGATGCTTACGAAGAATGTCCTCAGAGATGCTGACACTTACCCTTCATTCTGTCCGTCCCAAATATTTGTTTTGGCACGTTCCTGTAAACTGGTATACATAAATGAAGGTGATCTTTGCATACTTATTGTCCTCTTTTCATTAATCTTGATAGACGGGAACTTTTCCGATATTTTGATATGTACAACATTTATTTTGAATGATGAATACTATTTTAATTAAAGGTTATAAAGAGCTGTTGAGAAACTTTGGAATATAAATGAATTTATATGTTGGTTGATCGATCGCGAAGATAAATTTTGAAATTCTGTAGTAGTGATATTGAGAAATCGTCTTGTAAATCATTTAACCAGGTTTCTTAAGTTGTGATTACACCGCAATTACGATACGTGTTTAAACTTTGTAGGACTTGAATATACTCCACCTTGTCAATTAGTGATTACCAGTTATATGTAAGCTATTCAAGAATCAACATCTTAATAATATTCTTTTTTCAATGCACGTTGCTTGCCACAACGATGTCTTTGTTTGTATTTCTTTGTAACTTGTACAACGAAAGATCATAAACGTTTTATAAGCGCAACTGATTAAGTACTGCCATTAATAAACATAATAATGTGTTAAAACAAACAATAAACAGATAACTCGTTGAAATATCTAGGAACAGGTAGCCCATATGTTTAAAAAGGCCTCTAGAAAAGCATGAGTTGAGATACATGTTTATTTGATTGTCACTGTAACGCATTTGTGTGAATAGTTTATTATTTTTTTAATAGTTAATATCTTTCGTCAATCCTAGTTTAAAGAATCATTGAAAATCGGAATGTATTGACGCATCAGTAGTATCCTATCAGGACAATAAAATTCCAGGTTCCATGATATTAACTATAAAATTCTTTAGTTTTTATTAAAGCAATTTATATGTTTGTATATCCCATTCGTTTTTTCCTTAAATTTTTACAGCATGGCATTGCATACATTGATGGTATATGGTTTAAATCAATCATTGAGTACAATCACCTATGAAGCTGGTGAAGCAGATCTAGTGTAAGTTGTTATTCGTTGTGTTTTATTTGTTTGTTTAGGAAAGTTTAATGATGGTGAGTTCATTCATCAATTCACTCAAGTTGATTGTATTCGCTGTATTTAAGCCATAATATTTTTGTGTATATGTGGTTTAACGATACTATTATTACTATTAGTATTGGCTCTACTCAATATTATATTTCGGGTGCAGTATAGAATTCTCAGCGCAAATTATTTCAACGTTTCCTTTTCTTATTTCTTGATCGATCATTAGTGGCATCAATGCTTGAAGTCACTAACTTCTAGTCTGAGCCATGTTATTAGATGCAGACTACTTGGTTGGGGTCCGCGTGACAATCGTAACCAATGGTTAGAGACCCTGGGTGACATGGCTCAGAATCGATCACAATGGCGTCGGTGTATACACCCCCTGTCCTCCCTTAAACTAAGAGATTAAAATCGCTTCATATCTTTTTTCTACGAACTGGTTCTTTCTATCTTTACTACATCCTTACATAAAATCTTTTTTTTTATATATTACCACCTCTGAATTAACTATTTCTATGGATCCGGTGTTCATCTTGCTGTGCTAATGAGGTATGACAACTTGGACCGATGTATATATGTGCCTGGCCCTACGTTGTAGCTGACTGACTGATCGATTCTTAAGATAAATGTTGAGTATTCGTCAGTTAGATGTTAGCAGTTCGGGAATCGGCATTTGAATAATGTACATTGTTTTCGATGCATATTGTCAGCAACCACGATGTCTTTGATTGGATTTTTTGTAACTTCTACAGCGAAATGTCATAAAATTTTCACAAACGCTTCTGAATAAGTTATGCGACTAATAGACATAATGATGTGTTAAAACAAACATGAAAACAGTTAACTTGTTGAAATATCCTGATGATAGGAACAGGTAACCCAGATATTCGAATGGTTAAACTAAATTAGGTAGGATATGTTTCAAACTTGTTGCCTAATGCTATTAGTAAATGTTTAAATTATCCCGTTGTTAATAAATTCAGAATTGATTTGTGATTAATATTTTTTACATTTTTGAATTCTATACAGATTATCCAGTTACGTTCATTTTGTCTGATAGAACAGATGGTTTAAGATTCCCTATGAAATGCAGAATGCATGTTCTGTCCCATATGGGGTTCATCAGATAAATCTATTTTCACTAAGGTTCATTCTGAAACTGGAACCCAGTACCTTTTGCTTCGAACCCCAGTGCATTATCCACTAAACTACTGAGTGCGGATAGCCCATAGTTTTTCGTTTTTTCATACACATTACTGTTAGACAGTTGTCAATAATCGGCAAGAAAGCCTATTTCATTTAGCTGCTATATAAGTTGTCATCGATCGTCGTATTTAGGGTTCTTCGTCAAATAGATGCTTTCTTACATCTACCGTTAGTCTGAATCGAATTCATGTCACAGTTTTTAATATTAACACTGAACTATTCCAGCTGACATTATTCATGAATAAATGTAGATGCTTCTTTGAAATACTGCATATTATCTGATTGTTTTAAATGTATGTATATATGTATGAAAGAAGCAATATATTTTCTTTTTTATGTTTCGTAGACAAGATGTAGCGTTTCGTGATAATGGCTTACGTATTTGTGTTAGCGGTTTTAGTGAAAAATTGTTTGTAAGTTTTATTATTATTTTCATTGTTTGGTTGAAAATGTTTTTTTTTGGAAATCGATTAATTTTTTTGCACAGATTGATCTCGGTTGAGGTACATTTAAAAACTTAGGAATCGTTGGACAACAACCCTTCGCCACGAAACTTGAAGGTTCTAATTGACACTTCTAGATGAATCGTGGGTATACATTGATATGATGTTCCATACTAGAACATGTTATAACTTGTGACCGCCGATTAGTGGGCAGTGAATTATCGATAGGATCAAGGACGCGTAGAACAAGTGCGAGCAGCCCCTAGAGTCCTGATTGGTCCTGCTTTCCGCCTAGCCCAGCCAGTTAAGTCCAGAACACCAATCCGATCCTTTGCAATATGAATCATGTATCTCAAAAATACTCGGTTTATATACCAATCAAACAGACCATAAAATAGAAAATAACATTTGTACGAAATTTGGTCAAATGTGGCTGTGAATGTGGGAGGCAGTGACCAATAGACAGGGCATAATTCAAGAATGGTAAAACGTATAATAATGGTTCATAGGTCAAAATAAAGTTTATAATAAGAGGAATATGAATATGAATAGTTTAGTTATTTAACAATTATACGATAAAAATACACGCATAGTATTGGTACATAAATAGATCCCAAAAGTTACCATTCATTATGCTTATCGAGATCTAACAACCACACAACCACCACATACAACACTTTATCATCAGTTTAATGTTTGATTTCTTCTATTTGCCTTTAAATTATTTAAGTTATAAGTAACTATTTGTTTATTATTTTGGGCTAAATTGCAATGTACTTAGTGTTCAATTATACTTTTCTCTGTTTATTTGTTCTCAAAATACTTTTTAAAAATAGTGTTTTTATTCAACTATACTTGATCATATATTGGATCAAACACAAGATTTATCTAAAGAATATTTTGAATCATATCGTGATGCTGTACTTCAAATTTATTATAATGAAGCACTTAAACCAAATGTACTCAATACGTAAGTGAAATAGTGTAACAAACCAATGAACACTATTTTTTTAAAACGGTTTTGATGTTATGGTGAATAATGTTGATGATGTTTGAGTGCAGTCAACAGTCAAGTTAATTACCTATAACGTCATGTAATGTATTAAGCGATTTATACTAATGATCATATTTCTAATTGATTCACCCTTCTCATTTCATATGATTAAAAGTGGAAATCTTTCCAGAAAGTAAGGTGGAGGCGGTAGTCCAGGCTGATTGTATACTGTCTCATAGCACCATGGTTTGTGAGAAATGCGATTGGAAATGGGTTATTGATTGAGGTTGTGAATACTACTACGTTGATCCTGACCCCAAAATTATTTTTCTTTGTCATTCAAGAATATTTTCAGGAATTATAATTCTGTCCGGGATAGAAGAGTAGGTTGGTATAAGAAAGCTATGACGATTTAAATTAAAACCTGGTTGGTATCAATCCATAAGATGGTTAATGGTTGATCTAAGCCATGTGTTGAAGCCTCCTTGATTATTGATTAGATTAGATTTCCTATAAATCACCGGTTTATGTATCTGACTCTAGGCCTAAGGATTAGTTCTACTCACCATAATACTCAGACCGTCATAGATTAAACACAGGATCGAAATACAGACTTCTGCCTTTTTTTCATACCGAGTATCCTATTAATAAGCTGACCTAATCCAAACATATTGTTAAATACGACAATAGACAGGGAGAGTGTATATTATTGCGAAAAGTTATAAAGTACTCACGTAATACCTAAACATAATCTTCAATCGTCCATTTACATCTTCCGGCGTGCCCTGCAATCTGAACTATTTTCTCGACTGATCTCCGAGTGTTATGTCGACGCCGTGCTTTCAGTGCACTGAAACTCTTCACAGTTGTTGCAACTTCGGAACCACTTCCCGCTACACACTACGTATAAACATCCTTACCATTAGCGTCCACTACAATAGCGTGCACTCCTATTTCCATGCTATCTGAAGACTAAGTTTTAGGTGAGTGATGATAAACAAGATATGCTATTAACTTATATATCTACGAGACATTTATATACCTATATGTATGCAAATGCGTAGTGTGTATCTCTGCGTTCAATTGCAAATTATATCTTATTATTCATTATTAGTTCCCTCACTTCCACAGTTGGTTGAACTCGATTATATTCAGTGTGTATGTCAGTATCTAAATGAGTTGAGCGTAGAACATAACGCTTAACCACCGTTGTACTTATTGTGTATCCTGCTAATTAATTCATTTACTGATCATTTATATATTTACTCTTTGAATAATTTCCTTTTGTTTGTTTCATCTATTTATTTCACAGTCATCTTCAATTTTATCTTCTTCGTAAAGAAGCTTATCTAATTACAGATTTATTGAGTGCACTGAAAAATTTGTCAGTTGCTGATGTCGCTGCCTATAAACAACAATTTTTGTCCACTTTACATATTACTATTTATGCTTATGGTAATATAACAAGACAGGTAAGTCTTCTTAAAACATATGTGTATGCTTGAAAAGACCTTAAATTATCTCCTTCAGTTCATTTGGAAAATAATAGTCCTGATGTGTAAGGAGGTTTGAGGTTACGTTTTTCCAATCAATTCTTTGAAAGTTTATCTCAGTTCCACAGGGGGTCAGTCGAGGCCCAAATAATTCAGTATCTACTTCTGTGACTGCGAAGCTGGTTGACACTAGATTAGATTCACCAGGGAACATCGGTTCCCCCAGGATTACAGGTACATCTTGCTGACGAGTGTCAAATAGAACGAAGTTTAAGTCCTTAAATCTCCACTTAACATCTCAACATATTGCACGCAACGTCAGTAACATAGACTAGTGTCCACATTGCAACTTGATCAATAGAGTTCCAATAGCACTAAGAAGGACTTGACGTATATGACAGTGATCACTACTCAGTGATCAATTAGTTGTAAATTTTCCTTACTGACTTTTTCTAGTGTACGATTGGTTGTCCTTGTTTTCAGCTTACTGCTTCTGGTTGGTTTATTGCAATTTAATCTTTTTTGATCATCAAGTCTTTTCTTGATTTCTATCTCCATCTTTCTCTTTCTCATCCACCGTGTAAGTGAGATTATTGACGAAATGTTATAAATAAATTAGTTGTCTGGTTTGAGTAGTTTGCATACAACCCGTTTAATATTAGAAAACTGTTTCAGTCAGCTGTATCAAAACAAAACGGTATGTTTTGTTAAGATCACTGGTTGATTCAAGTTAAACGACCGTGAATCAAACCATAGACGGTTTTCCCCTCACTCGAACAATTGAGCTGGGATACATTAGTGTACAAGTCCAAACTCAATAAAGCTGAGATAATACACCACTACCCTCCATTGTCTTCTTAATCTCAGTAAAATCCAACGATTTCCAAAACCACATACTATAAGAGCAATGTGTCCATAACTGTAGAAATGCAAGAAAGGAACATTTCAAAAATCATTTGACGTTTAATTAGTGACAGTTGACCATTCCTCGTTTTTATATCTAATTAAATTATAAGCAAGTTGATAGAAATGTCGCTTTCATTGCTTATGTGTTTTTTCCCTCGATTTGAAGAGTACACTTATGACGCATATAGTGCTCTGTATTAAAAGTACCAACAAAATTCAGACTTCTAAATTATTTCAGTTACAGTACAAATTAACTTTCTCTGAATCTAAATACAAAATGTTTCAGAGTTAAATTATGTCATTACATAACCAACATAATTATTAGTAACTCACCTGATTTTTCGTAGTTTTATGTCACTTACAATTAACGTGTACTATATTATTATTATTATGACATCGTATCTTGTATTACAACAGGCCTTAATTTCCATCCCACATGTGCTAAATGAATTGTTGAAATTTGGCACACAGATACACGTTTATCCTAATTCCTACGTTATCGCTAACATGTTTTAATCTGTCTCCATCTAATCTAGTTTGAGCTATTGGATAGTGAAACTACACGCAAGTCGCATCAAAGGTTCTATTCTCCTCTGTTGAACAACTACCTTACGATTAATCCTAATTGTAAATAATTAACTGATATCTCCTAATACAAGCGCAATTTACGTGATCTAGAGGTTTTATTGACTAATTTACACAATACTTCAATAGGAAAAAAAGACAGTAATTCTAGGAAATTAAAGTTTTTAATGCAACAAATCTGTGTTATGTAACAAATAACCTTAGCCTTTGGAACAGATAATCAAATTAAAACGATTTTAATAGTGGTTGATATGAATAGAAAAAGATTAATCAAGGAATTCCTTGGTCATCAGAACTGTCTTTTTATTAATAGAAGTAAAATGAAACTACATAGTTTCAATTCTCCTAAACTTGTCATTTCGACTAAATTCATAAATTTATACTCGATCACATAAGTTACTTTAACTTGATAATTTATACTTTAAAATCGATTCTTGGATGTGTGTAAATCCAGCTGATGAGTTCCAGACAGAACGAAACTCACATCCTGGATCCAGCCATTAACTGCCATTCATCACTGTTTTAAAAATGTTTATGACTTATTGGTAATATAATATCAAGACAATCTGCACAGGATTCAAATATGTTTAAAAGTAATTGATCAGTTGCAGTCTTAGACATCAATGGGGATATACGAATAACCATTATATATGAGTTTTCGTGTTTATTTTTTAAATTTGTTATACCTTCCACGTTGTTACATATATTCTTTTGTTTTCTATCATTACCTTCTCGGCCGCCGCACCCCTACCATCCAACTGTCTGTAGGATGCCATTTCTTTCTTTGATTATACAGTGGAAAAGATCCGACCTATCCCTAGATCCACAAGAAAATTGGTAAGTTAACTTCAACCTTAATTTACTTACTCAGGCATGTTACTCCTTGTGGAGAATAGGCTGCCGACCAGCAATATCCAATCTACTCTATCATGGGCTCTCCTTTCCTGTTGTTGACAAGTCCTATTCATTCTCATGATGTCTAACTCCAATTCCCGACGCAATATGTTTTTTGATCTGCCTTTTTCCTTCTTGTCTTAAAGAACTCAAGTTAGAGTTTACTTTTTTTACGCAGTTTGGTGGTTTCTACAGTGTGTATCCTGTCCACCCTCACAGTATTTTCCTAATTTTATTTTCATCTGGGAACTGATTTGTTCTCTGCTACAGTAGGTCATTGCTGATAGTGTCTGGCAAACGGACATGGAATATTTGTACCTTTTCAATGATAATTGTAGTAGTTCTTTAGGTTTCAACTCTGTACAATGCAACTGTCTTGATGTTTTTATTAAAGATTCTGACTGTGCTTTTACCTGACAGTTGCTTTGAGTTTTGGACGATCATTAGTTGTAGGAATGCTTCCATTTCTTTGTGAATCCAGGCCTTTACATCTGCATCAGATCCTTCTTGTTTATAATTGATGCTTATGTGGTGGTACGTGAAGGTTTCAAATTCTTCTATAACTTTCCCTTTTGGTTGGTCCCCACTGTGTTGTATTTTGGGATCTCTCTTTTTCCCTTGTAAACTTTATCTAATTAAATTGAATTTTCCTCATACTTTTGACTCACATTATTATTGTTTTCTGACTGTACCAACTCTTAATTATAAGAGTTTCGTGTTTTCACGTTGTTAGTGTTAACAACTGTGATTGATCAATCCCCATGGTGGTGGCGTAATTAAACCCTAAACGGATTGTCTCAATATTACCAGCTTGGAAGCGAAAGATATTAGGTTCAAATCTCAGTGCGAAAATCAGAATTGGCCAATGATAAGTGCATCTAGATTACTAAAACCGATCATTATCTATGATCTTCATAGAATCACAACGTGTAACCCTAAACAGTCAACACAATTCCTCGTACCATACATATATTTTACTAGGAAATATTTGTTTAGCTACTCATTAGTAGTAGGAAACTAGTTAATAAAATGTTTTGTCCACCTTAAACTCATGCCCGTCTGATATCATTACAACTATTATCCTTACCCTTCCCACATTTTTTTAAATATAGTGTGGTACACCTTCAATGTGTTATTTTGTAGAATATTCAATATAATATAAAGTCTCTTTCAGTGCTCATAAAGATCACCCATTATTCCGTTTTTGTGATGTTAATAATTCTTAATATTATTGTTATTGTTAGCACTGAGAATAAAATGCTATGATATCGATCATTCGTCCACAATGTGCCAATTGAATAGGCTTGATTCAGCCTTATTTAAAGTTGTTCAGAACTCTGAATGAACATTATCAACAACCGTCTTCTCTGTGGTGAATACGTTGATCGTTATACACTCCTTGTCCTTCTAGATAACATCATCAGTACAAACGTTTGATAGAACTGATTTGTCTTGACTTAAACACAGCTTGTTCTGTCAAATCTGATTCAGATTGGTTGTTGTCAACTTCTTTTCTGTCTTGATCTCTACTAATTTTGATTGTGTTTCCCTTTGATTTAAATTCTAACTTCACATATGTTCGTAGTTCTTCTAATTGATTGATATAACCCAAAGTATGTTGTGGCGTTTGATAAGTAATTAATGTACATCCTGGTGAAGAAGAAGAAGAAAGTGTCCATTTTGTCACGCGAAACTTATACCGATAAACATTTACGGAATACCAAATATAGATATCACATCTTAATTTAAATGTAGTTTTGGCTACAAATTAGTGTTTTCCAGCAAGTTATTAACAAGTGATGAGCACATAATAAAGCTGTATTTCGTTGTCACGGTCTTAATTACCTCTGCATTGCAAACGTATGGCTATAAACGAAATATGGAACTTGTGACCTATAGGTTTTGTGGTGATGAACATGCTACGGTTTAGTCTGTGATACAAAATCTAATCATTTATGTTACTAGATGAATAGATTTCCAATTTCAGGTAGTTCGTCATTATCCTCAAGCTTTTTTAGATCTCTTCCCAACGTGAAGTATAACCTGCTAAATGCGTACATCGGTTTATTTTTCCACTCCCCATTGGCATAGAGATGAATATATCAAGTATAATCCCAGAGAAGTGAACGTAGTTACAGCATTCATAGTAATAGAAATGAATATGTATCAAAGATATGATTCACGAAGAAAATATGAATTAATATGATAAGCAATCAAAAAAATTTTAAGGTAATTAAGAAGCTTAAAATTCAGTTGAAGGCAAAGAGTGAATCCACCTATTCCATTGCAAATGATTCTAAACCATGTCACCTAGTATCTCTAACCATATTTACATGAAACCCAACTAAGTAGTTTGTACCTACCTGCATGGCTCAATCCAACAGTCAAAGGGGTATCCGTCAATTCAAAGTAATAACTAACTCATCCGTATAGGGTTTTTTTAACACCTCATAGTTCAATTCTTCTATTCGAATGACTTTTACCAAATTTTTTGATTTACTAAAAACACTTACAACTGTATTCTTCTATTTTTGCAAAAAATAACCCAACTCTCTGTTTAGATTGATACCTCAATCTTAGATCCAGGTACATATTATCTACGTGTTATGAATTGTAATCCAAACGATGTAAATATGTGTCTAGCTAGAATACATTTACTTGGTGAATCCAATATTAAACAACAATGCTATAATAAGCTATTGGCAGTAAGTAGAATTCTTTTTATACACACAGACACATTTGTTATTTATTTCACTAGTTTTGCTTTTTCCGCTCGATTTATGGGGCTAATTTTTTAATGACTGTTTGTTATCACTACGGACAAGAAGTTCACTAGCCTTCGGTCTCGCTTAACCTCTAGACCATTGAGCCGGCATCCAACGGTGTTAATATCCTTGTTTCGTGTCCCGCATGAGGGATCGTGAATGCACAATGCTGCGTAGTCCAATACTAGGACGAAACGGCCATCCACTGCTTTCAGATTTTCAACGGTGGTCTAGGTTAAATCGACTCATGAATCCAACTATTAAAGATTACTACACTCTCCATACACCCTCCACTTTATAATACATATATTAGTTCATTGTCACTTATGTTTTATTACAGTTTACAATATTTTCTATCGACGAAATATTTTCAGCGGTTCTGTTGAAACCATCAGGATTTGCTTAAACTAGATAATTCGGAAAAATTAATGTATAACACTTCAACAATAATCCGTTACACAATTGAAAAGAGAAAAGTCAAAAACTGTGAAAGTTTAATATTCGAACAAGTCGACATTGCAATAGAATAACCTTGTTTGTATAGCAGTAAATATATCTCTGAGACACGACAAAAGCAGCAAATTAAAAGTGAGAACAATTAATTAGTCAGTAGAAAAGGTCACTGCAGAATTATGAATTGGATGGGCGCTACTGTGAACTTCATTACACGTTGAAAATATTGTTTATTCAACAAAAGTAATAAGACTAAACAATTTTATTTCTTGCTAACAGTATCTAGTTTAGTGAGTAACTATTCAGGTACTCAGCTTTGAGCCAAGGACTCGTAATACTACCAGACTGTTTAAATCTTAGTCGTCAGAGTAATATCCGGAGCTGCATATTACTGATGCTGATGGCTGTAATCCTTAAACCACTCATGTTTTAACTAATTAGTTGTAATTTTAAAAAAAAGTTAGTCTTGAACAGGTGAATATTATCACTAGCTCTCACAATTACAATGTAATACAAAGTTGAGTACAATTTAAATCTGTACTTGGCATACTATTGAAAAAGAAATTCTTATCAAATAACCCTTTCAAATGTCAAATTCTTTTAATTTAATCGCGCGTTTTCTTTATTCAACTAAATCTTTTTTGTTTTCTCTTATGTATTTGTGTTTCAGTTTATATTATCTGAACCGGCTTTTGATTATCTGCGTACTAAAGAAACTTTAGGATATACTGTTTATCTCCGATATTGGCGATCATCTCCTGGTGGTACATTACATTCAGGTATCAGTTTAGTAGCATATAGTCCAGCTAATAAATATTCCATTGATTATGTCGCTGGAAGATTGACTGCTTTCTGGCGTCGAATAGCTCCAAGGATTATTGCTGCTATGCCATCGGAAACGTTTAAGACGTCAGTAAGTGTAGAATGTTGTATTCTTCCTGTTTTTTTTATTTCTACACTGTTATTTCGACTATGAAGTCTAAAGAATTTGTCAAAACTATAGTACAAGTCAGTTATGACCATGTTCACGATCAGATTTTCGCGTTCCCCTTTTCGTTTAATTTATCAATGGTATACCTATACAATTTAAACTTTGTTTAGTTAGTCATTTTCGTAAATAAGAGATCTTAGTTAATATTCGAATAACGCTCAAGTTTTAGTTGCTGGAATAAAATACCGTACGTTTGTACATTTTTAAGTTTTTCATAAATTGACAATCCATATTTTCTCTCAATGATCTTTACTGTTCTAGTTTTGGTTGATTAACTGTTTTGCTATATTTATTTTCCTGTGGATTTTGTACTTTTCGATTATGAAGTTGGCGTTTGATAGTTTGGATTTCCAACCATTAGATCCCGACTTAAGTGTTTTAAGATTGAAAGCTCACTATAAGTCCTGAAGGTCATGAGTCTGATCTCTATCAGGGTTGTGGATGTCTGCTGCTAAATAATCCCATTCTATGTCAAAAACACATGTCTACCGCTTTCGACTCTATAGTTTTCTAGCTACAGTCAATTTGTGACGTAAACAATAGAATTCATAATCTTCACAAATTCTTCGTACAAATATATATATACGACTTTCAACCACACTGTTAAGAGTATTGAAGACTATCAGTCATACGATTCGTTCGCCTAAACCGAAGTAGTTAGAAGAGAGTGTATGTGTCGGTAGTTTGGAATCGAAACTTTGATGAACTAAAAGTTGAACTCATTTATCACTGAATTATCCCTTCACTTTATGATTGATTAATGTATTTTTCTTTTGTTTAATAAACAAACAATCGAATTATAAAATTGTTCACAGTTTATACTTCAGTTACCATAGTAAATGTTTTGTTGTATTTTAAAAAAAAACTTTCTATAGGTAGAATCATTGATATCTGTGCATCAATTAGAAGATCCCAATATGATGACAGAATTTGAAAGAAATTGGGATGAAATTATGGAAAGTACAGCGAATTTTAATTATCGTGAAGAATGTGTAGGTTGATTTGTATTAAATTATTTTTATTTATTTGAACACATAAATATTGGTACAAGGAGGCACCAGATATATATGCGACACACAATAACAATGAGAGTTCAAAGAGAAAAAAAAGAGGGTAAGGTGTGTGTACGAAAAAAAAGAACAATGACAACCACATATTAGTTTATGGTTAGTGTAATATTTATTTATTTATTTGAACACATGAATATTGGTACAAGAGAGCGTCAATATATATGCGCCACACAAAACAATGAAAATTCGAAGAGAGATAGAAAAAAAACTAAGGAGCACAAGAGAAAAAGAGAACGATAACGAAGAGATTGATGTAAGGTAGTGTGGTAGTAACGAGGGAATGGAAAGGTACAATCAGAAAAAATCTTTCAAGTAAGGGAGACACAACCACTTTTTATGAAGAAAGTGATGGAATGTTATTGCGGGATCGCCACTGGCTTCTATTCTGAGCCATATCTGATAACGTCTCTAACCACTGTGTTGCACCATCTCAAGGACCCCAACCTGGGAGTCGAGAAGGACCAACAGAAGTCAGCCCTTTGCAGCTTTCTTTCATGCCACGACACCTTGTCATATACTGACAACCTCTCCGCTTTATCCAACCAGTCCCAGAGTCGGCAAATAATGCACGACGTGGAATTCTCTGGGACGACATTCGTAGAACATGTCCAAGCCACCGAAGTCGGTGTTTCAAGATGGTGACACCAACTGGATTATCGTCTCTGTGCCCGAACACACGATGCCGAACCTCTACATCACTGACATGGTGTTGCCACTGGATGTCAGCAATCTTTCGGAGAAAACGATGATCAAAGACAGAGAGTCGTCTAACATCCTCAACTCGGAGAGGTCAGGTTTCACAAGTATAGAGCAGAACTGCTCTCACCGACGCGTTGTAGATCCGACCTTTTACAGCCAGACTGACATCACGAAGGCGCCAAAGGTGTCCCAGATTGGCATAAACCGCTCTGGCTTTCACTATAAGTGAGTCGATCTCATCACTTACGCCACTACCAGCACTTATGCAGCTACCCAGATACACGAACATCTCGACTACTATCTGCTCACCATCCAGAGTGAGTACAGGATTGTAATCCTGCCAGTCTTGTAGAAGTACTTTGCACTTCGAAGGTGCAAAGCACATACCGTACGTACGGACACTGATTGCCAACTGAATAAGTGCGGATTGCATGCCTTGGGCATTATCGCACAGTAAGACAATATCGTCCGCATACTCAAGGTCGAGAAGTCTTTCTCCAGGCAACAGATCCACACCACCATTACTTACATTCATCAGAGCTGTTTCCAGAATGTCATCGATGGCAAAGTTGAAGAGGAATGGTGAGATTGGGCAACCCTGCCTAACCCCACTACTCGAATGGAACAATGGAGAGAGGTGGTTGTATGCCCTCACTCTGCCTGAGGTGTTTTTATATAGGGCTTTTAGGATGTTGATAAACTTCTCAGGCACACCCTTCTTCAATAGACAATCCCAGAGAACAGTCCTGTCCAACGAATCGAAGGCAAGCCCTGATGTCAAGAAACACCACGATTGTTGGCCTTTGATAAGTATAGCGGTGTTTTAACATTTGGCGGAGGGTGAAGATATGATCAATACATCCTCGACCAGAACGAAACCCAGCCTGCTCCTCGCGAGTCAATCTTTCTCGGGTTTTGAACAACCTACGAAGTATGACGGAAGCCAATAGCTTGGACGCAATCGGAAGTAGACTTATCCCCCGATAGTTGTTGCAGGAACTACGTGAACCCTTTTTAGAGATAGGGACAACTATCGACTCATTCCATGACGTTGGTACCCTCTCTAATTCCCAAACCTTTGTAAACAACGTCGTCAATTCTTTAGTCAAAAAGTCACCACCATCTTTAAAAAGAGCCGGAGGTAAGTCATCTGGGCCAGGTGATTTGTAACGCTTCAAGAGTTGGAGTTCCTTGCGAACTTCCTCCTCGTTTGGTGGATCAGTCGTCACCGGCCATGGAGGGCAGGATAGTCTGTCCGATGTTGCCGGAGCAGCAGGCCAGTTGAACTGCCCTTCGAAAAATTCTGCCCATCGTCCAAGACGTCGATGGATGTTAGTGATTGGCATCCCATCATCCTCGCAGATTGTTTCACTCACACCAGACTTCTTGCTGCCAGTGGCTCGGATGAGCTGGAAGAGCTTGCGGTAGTTACCAGATGCAGCTGCTGCTTCCAGCTCATTAGCACGCTCCGACCACCAGGCTTCTCGGTCCTTACACAAGCTTTGCCCAATTTCCTTACGTAACATCCTTCGTTTATGGTCAAACTCACGGTCACCCGGAGTCGACCGACGGGCTTCAATGAGTTGTAAGGAACCAGAAGAAACCCAGTGCTTAAAAGCGGGACGTTTCGCAAACCCACAACTGACTGTTCCCGACATTTTCATGGCGTCAAGCAATTGCAACCAATGCTCATCTATACTTTTCGGTGGGGTGGTAGCTAGCCTAAAGGCTAGCTCGGTTCGATACTTACTTGCAACAGAAGTTGCAACCAACTTGCTGACATCAATCCTTTGATGGTGGTCACTTCGTTGTCCACTGAAAAGTAAGGCAAGATTGGCGCAGACCAAGGCATGGTCAGAGTCCAGATAGGTACTCCAAAAGGAGCGGCAGTCTTTTACACAACCACGCCAGCGGAAGCTGATCGCGATGTGATCAATCTGAGTCCAGGCTTGGGATGCAGAGGGAGGACGCCAGGTGGCACATCGGCGATGACTATGCCGAAAGTTAGTGCTAGCCAGAAACAGGTTGTGGTCTGTGCAAAGTTGCAGTAGACGGTCCCCGTTATCTGACCTGCGACCAACGAGTCCCCATCGGTCACCTAAACGACTCTCTTCTGTGCCTAGACGCCCGACCTGAGCATTCAAGTCTCCGGCTAGTACTACAATATCTGTCGAGCACACTTTCTGGAGAAGAACAGATAACTGGTGGTAAAACTCATCCTTGATTGCATCCGGGCTGCAATCTGTCGGGGCATAGGCAGAGATGACGAAAAGACATCGTTTCTCACGCCGATTTCTTCTCACTTTGATGGAACTTTCTAATCTAACAGCACATAGCCAACTGTTAATGGGGATCCAATCAACTAGTGCTGCCTCAGCTCTAGCGCTTAGTGCGACACCAACGCCAGCAAGAACAAACGAAGGTGTGACAGGGTCCCCGGATAAGCGCACGTAAAACAAGCTTTTCGAAGCGACAGATGGAGATCAAATTTGTAGTACTTCGCCAGAGTCTTGAATACGGGTCTCGGATAGACAACAAACATCAATATTAAGACTTTCCAAAGACATAGCCAGCCATATCTGTTGTCCGACCTGCACTAGTGTGCGAACGTTGAAGGCAGCCAGTTTGAATTGTGCACGTTGTTTCAGAAAAACTGCTTCAGTTCTCGTATTCGGTGGTAACATACAATTTTCAAACGGACAGTGACTCGAGAACGTTTAGATACAGTCGAATTTCCACCAAAGACGAGCCGCTGTATAAGTATAAAAGAGAGTGAATTATGTGGAAAATAATAATAATAACAATAATTGTAATGATAATAACTTGAATCAATTTATTATTTTACGAAGCGAGAAAGGTAATTTCCATAGACATAAAGAGTTCATCATTTGTGTGTGGGCTGTGATACTGCCCGGGTGCCCAAACCGAAGCAGGTGGTTATCTTAGGGGGCCACACCCCGAGCCTTTGACCTAATGGTCTGATCCACAAGGCAGTGGAGCATCGTAAGGAGATGCGATCCCATGGTAGCCGGTGACCGACGATTGGTTCATACGCCATTTGTTCCCGCAGGATACTGGAGCCCATGTGCACCTTTGGTTTGTGATCCGGTTAAAGCGCCGGACGTTCGCTTTTCGTCCTCTCATTTTCGTAAACAACAGTGATGCCACGAGAATGCAGTGAGTAGGACTTCCCTGGCAGAGGCTGTATACGCGCGGCCGTGTGAGAGTATTTCAAGAGGGAGAGAGCGGACTCTCCCCACTCTCGGCCGTACCAGGGCGTTCGGGGGCGGTTAGTGTAATATTAATAATAATAATAGTGGGGATGACGGAAAGGTACAATCTGAAGAATTCTTTCAGTTAACGAAGTTACAACCACTTTTTACGAAGAAAGTGATGGAATGTTATTGCGGGATCGCCACTGGCTTCTATTCTGAGCCATATCTGATAACGTCTCTAACCACTGTGTTGCACCATCTCAAGGACCCCAACCTGGGAGTCGAGAAGGACCAACAGAAGTCAGCCCTTTGCAGCTTTCTTTCATGCCACGACACCTTGTCATATACTGACAACCTCTCCGCCTTATCCAACCAGTCCCAGAGTCGGCAAATAATGCACGACGTGGAATTCTCTGGGACGACATTCGTAGAACATGTCCAAGCCACCGAAGTCGGTGTTTCAAGATGGTGACACCAACTGGATTATCGTCTCTGTGCCCGAACACACGATGCCGAACCTCTACATCACTGACATGGTGTTGCCACTGGATGTCAGCAATCTTTCGGAGAAAACGATGATCAAAGACAGAGAGTCGTCTAACATCCTCAACTCGGAGAGGTCAGGTTTCACAAGTATAGAGCAGAACTGCTCTCACCGACGCGTTGTAGATCCGACCTTTTACAGCCAGACTGACATCACGAAGGCGCCAAAGGTGTCCCAGATTGGCATAAACCGCTCTGGCTTTCACTATAAGTGAGTCGATCTCATCACTTACGCCACTACCAGCACTTATGCAGCTACCCAGATACACGAACATCTCGACTACTATCTGCTCACCATCCAGAGTGAGTACAGGATTGTAATCCTGCCAGTCTTGTAGAAGTACTTTGCACTTCGAAGGTGCAAAGCACATACCGTACGTACGGACACTGATTGCCAACTGATCTATATATATCGTTATATATATCATTATTTAACTGTCAGATGATAAGATCCAAATAAAAATTGTAAATTATGAATGAATATTGATTCTTATCTTCGTTTTGATATTTGTTGTCAGTAAGATGTGTTCAAACCTTTTCCCTATGAAATTTTCACTCATTATCACAGTCAAACTAAGTATCATAACTATTTGAACCCAATTTTCATCTTTGTATTTGCATTAAAACAAATTCATTCAAATATCAAACACTACAATCCTCTTGTATTCAGAAAAAAAAGCCATCATACTGTTATGACTTTTGCCCTGTTATTTATCATATGACAAGTTCAGCAATCAGAACAATAACTTACACGACCTTGTCCCCTTGTGCTAAACTCATGACGCGTTAACCAGCACGATCAACCTTGAATCAACTTTGAGTTGTAATTGGTCCTCTGTATAGTAACGTCTTGCCTAGCCCTGTTCTCTTTAGTTCAGAATACAATTTCAGCTTACACTGAATGAATTATGTATTTCAGAAATACGCAGTTTATACACAAGTAAACCAAACTGTATCCTACTATAAAATAGAAAATAACAAATATACAGAATCAAGCTAAAAGTGGCTGTGAGCGCGAAATACTGTAACTAATAAATTAAGAAAACATAAGGATATTAAATCGTATAATAATAGTCAACAGATCAAATGAAAGTTTATGATAAAAGGAATATGAATACACGTATAATCTAGATACTTCATAAAAATATATGTAATAATAGTCCATAAATAATTCCTAGCAGTTACCATCCATTTATTCTTCGTTATGATATAACACATACTATTATGTCTTTAAACCTGTGATTAAAATCATATGACAATGATATCAATCGGAATCACGACTTCTGTGATTAAGTGTTTCTAACTTGTCTAGTTACACATTCAACCAGCACTAATAACTTTGATCCGGTAGCTAGGTCTCTATTAGTCCACTACTCACTGGCTCCTCTCTATGCCCAGCCTTCAGTTCAAAAGTCAGCAACCAACCTCTAATATATTTATATTTCAAATAGATTTGATTTATATACAGACATAAAAGACCACATCACATAAAATGGAAAATAACATCCAAAAGTGACTGTAAATAAGGGAAATTGTATGTGATAGACGGGCAACAAATTAAGAGTAGTAAATAATGTAACAGTAATAATTAATAAGTCAACCGAAAGCTTATGTTCAAAAGAATATTTATATATTATTATAATCTAGTTATCTAATAATTACACAACAAGAATATGTATAATAATAGTCCATAAATCAGTCTTGGAAGTTACCTTTCCTTTATTTTTTGTCCTGATATAACACTTATGTCTAATGACCACTAATGGTAATCTGTGGGCTAATAGTGAGAAGGTTTTTACCAATGAAGTCATTCATAGCAATCAATGGTGATCGTAGAATATCATGAATCGACTAAAGTTAAAAATGTCAAATATTGGATGTTGACTCACTGGTCCTACGTTGTAGCTGACTGACTGATGGTCTGCGGATTAAGCTCTCGCTTCAAACACCTGACAGTCTTGAATTCTATCTTTAGTTAGGATTGTGCTTGCAGATTGTTGAGAAATTCATTGTTCCCTGATTTTTATTTGATCACTTTATACAATCATATTTCTAGAGCAATTAAGTTGCGTGCAGTGGTGAAATAAAAGATTATTGTCATATATAAAAAATATTTATTGAAAGAGATCTTTTTCCTCTCCCTCCTCCTGTCACACACACAGACATACAAAGGATATTACACTTAGTAACTGATTTACGAGTAAATAATAAAATGGGAAAAGATCAGTAAGACAAAATGAACAGTAGTTTCATCGTTTACATTATAGGCTGGTCCTAACTAACTATAGCAAGCCGTGAAGAACGTGAAAACAGCGCAATCCTAGCACATGACTCTTCAAGTGCAGTTATCCACGACTCTGTCGGAAATTGAACCCAGAAACATCAGGTCACGTAGTCGGATTGTCAAGCGTTCACCGTAACATCTGAAGGTCCTTTTTACGGCCCATGTTGGTATCATGGATTCAAACTCCGGAGTTGTTCTATACTAGGACGAATCAGTTGTCCAATGCTTATGGTTTTCAATAATTGTTTGACAAAGATCATAAGTCTATGATTTAAACCATAAAACTCGACTATCTGTACAAACCTCTATACTTTAATTGCTTTATAATAGCAGTAAGGAAGATAGTAATATTATACCGTATATTTTTATTTATTTAGGTGAAAATTTTGTCAACTATTACTCAAGAAAGTCTATTGAATTTCTTCTTAACGGAATATTTGGATGTTAAAAAACAACGTTCTTTATTTGTACAGGTAAGTAAACATTGTTTTGATGAGAGGTTAATTTAGGCCACTGGTGAGACTTTAAACGAAGCTAAAGTAACCTTGAGAGTGTTTACCTACTTACTAGGGCTAAATGAGTATTATAAACCTGTGGGAAGATTAAGGATTATGATTTACAGTTGATGGTTAGGGTTAGGAATTAGACGAACTGACATCAGCTAAAATTCTGACAAATAAGTGAATGAATTTCGCTCCAAAATGCAAGACCTGTTATCCTAAATCGGATTGATACGTCCATAAATTATAGTCTCGCCTAGTTCAACTACATTCACACTTTATCTTACTCTCGATTTTCAACTGTAATATTCTTTCTTTTTTTCCGCCTTGATTCTATCTACACTGATTATAACTAACTGCATATACAGTCAATTGAAATACAATTTGACTCATTTATTTAAAAATGTGGGTATTGATAAATCATTCATAAAGAGTTGCAAACTTAATTTCGTGGAACGCTCTGGGATACTAATCATAAAAAAATCATTGAGATTCATGAGGGGCATTAGAAAACTATTTATAATCATGGTTTATTATTGATCAATGATTGTAGCGCTTACTGACACAGCCTTAGACTTAATCAAATTTAGAGCATATTTAGCAAATCAGTTGAAATCTTTGAATCTTAGATCCAATAATCCACATCTTACAAACTCATTCAATTTGTGAAATAGAATAACTGTCCAGTACAGTTTTTGCTTGTATATAGAGCTTTGATCAATGAAGCTTTGTGTAGTTATTCGTCGTTTTGAAATTAATCACCTCTTCTGCTTAAATTTTTTTAAACATTACTCTATATCGAGATCTAGATTGTAGCTGCTTCTACCTTGATGTATCATGATTAGGCTTGCATATTATAATGATTCAATTGATCTATGTTGATTGTAACATTTTTTTTGTAATGTCTGGTACTATGACAGGTTAATAGGTTATTCTGGCTTCTGGATGAACCAATTTATTCAATCTTTTCATGCCACATTTTGACCTTGTTGATTATTCGCTTCTTAACCCTGAATGTTTTCTGTATAATCGTAGGTGTGTCAATTGCTCACTTCGTTCATTACGTGTTTGTAACTTATCTTTGGTCTGACTATAAATATTGAGATACGTTTGGACATATTCAATTTGCTCACTCATCTTCTCTGCTACGCATCGTTTCGTTTACCATTTTTCCAACTAAATTATTCGTTCCATTCTCTTCTCTTCGTTTCTCTGATTGTCTGTCTAGATCAACGAGCGTATGCAATAAACGTATTCAAAATTCATTCTCGTATATGTCTTATTCCGCTATTTACTAACGCGAATAAAGTCGACAATTATATACGAGGCTTGGTGCCATGTATATTTCAATAGCTATCATCTAACGATCTAACTTGCGACAGATACAAGTTCCTCTAAGTCATTTTGAGAACGATGGGACTTAAAGCAACAGTTCGATGTCCGAGGGTGAATTCATGCTGTCGATTGTGTGATACGGGGAGCATTATAGCAACATAGGTGTTTTCCTCAGACAACTACCTTTCGCATCAATACTGCCTTTTCTGAATGAAGAAGGGCAGGTCAGAAAATGTCGGCTATAAAACTAATGCATCTCATGGTTCCCAATTAAATCCTTTCATCATTTTCTAGCATTTCTCCCGTCTCTACTACCAGTACTTCTCCCATGACTTCATCTTTATTCTCCAGGCATCACCAACAGTAACAATTCGAGGTTATATAGTTTTATTCCCGATTATTGCCGAAACTCGATTTTTAACTTACGTACTGGAGCTTTCATTGTTCTAACTTTATGTCAGATCGGACAAATGTTTTCTTACAATAATCAAAGGTAATAGAAGGGTTAAACGAAATGAAGTGATATCAGAAATAAATTATAATTAAAATCATGAGAATATGAAACATGACTAAAAAGAGATGGGCATATTTTCAAATATGAAATAGAATAATGATAATAATGGTTCAAGGCCATGATAAAGACAAGAGGTACTTCCTTTGTACGTTACGTAATCCAGCACTATAAACTTCCTGTTACGTTATTACTTCTGCGTGAAGTTTACGCTCATGACATCGTTCAGACGAGCGATGAAAGATCCACAGCTAAACCATCCTTCTCAGAGGACAAAACTCCACCAAAAAGTTACGTCGTCATGACTATTTCTTGTTCATATGTCCTCAAGGGATTAAAACTTACAATTAAAGTTTTCATATGTGCATACGATTATAGAGCTTGATAATGAATTCGTTGAAAAAAGATCCATTCATCGAATGTCGCGCTTTTTAATATACGGTGTTCCAGTCTGTTTAAATTTCATCAAATATTATCCGTTGAAGCCTACTGGGAACAATTCCCGTTTCTCAAGGCTCAAAAATTTACCGTGTGCATATAATCTTATGGAAACCTGCTTCGGTTTGGGTGCCCGGGTAGTATCATATCCCTCACACATATCAAATGAGATTTGTGTGTCGCATATGTATTTTGTGCCTCCTTGTACCAATATCTATGTGATCAAATAAATAGATAAATAATTTTAAGAAGTCGATATCCCAGGTCTTGAAACACGGTCAGCGCACCAGAGGTAAGTATGGTTTATGCGCATACTGGTAACACACATGCATCCTTTAGCATGCACATAGTTATATTTGCCCACCTGGAAGGATAGATGGTCACCAATTCATTTGAATGTATTCGCTACAATTGACTATCACTTACTCATTACATGCATACCACTGGTACAAAGATTTTCGCCAGACGTATAATCATAATCACTGTTCCAGGGAGGGTTTACGGTTATCTCTTTTTTTATTAGCTACCATATTTTTTATTATCTCTTCGACCTGTGTAATTAGGCCGCTGATTTTATTAAACATATGGGAGACTTTTTTTTCAGTTTACCATTCCTTGTGGTAACAGATGCTCGTACCCTTTGCATATACCTAAACTCATAAACTTTACAAGCCAAAACTCATTTAATTCTTATACATAAGCATCCATATCGGACAACCTGCAAGATTTTACTAAACCCCGAGATTTTAACCTGATTAATCCGATCTCCGCTGACCATCCATATTAGCTAACAGGATTTCTCTCACTACATAGTAGCACCAAGTTTAGGCTTTGAATCAGATATCGCTGTTATTATTATTACTTTCTCTTGTTGAATGATTACCATGTTTCACTTTAAACCGTAACTTAGTCATTATCGATCAGTGTTTTTTTTCTTTTCTACCTGACCTTTAAATTCACTTCATTTTTAGAATTAATCAGATGATCTATTATTATTATTATTATTGTTATTACTATTGTTACACTTCATATTGAGTGTTTGTATTGCATGTGTAGGTTATGAATTGTTTATTGTATGCATTAATTTCAATACTGTTGAATAGATTTCGATGATCAAGAGAAAGAAAACAATAAATTTTACAAATATTATTATATACTAATTTATTTATTAATAATAAGTACACATTAGTGTGTTTGGCTATGAGCTCTAATTTAGGTATGATTACTAATAGTAAGTTATCGGTCGTTTAAATTAAAGTAGATGAAGCGAGACTTTTCCCTAAATGCCATGGTACGGACGAGGGTGAGAAAAGTCAAATCTCCCTCTGCAAATGATCTCATATGGCCACGCGTGTGTAGCCAATGTCAGGGAAGTCCTACAAACCGCCTTCTCGCGCCACCAGTGTTGTTTACGAAATTAAGAGGACAAAAATCGAATGTCCTATGCTTTAACCAGGTTGGTGGATATGGAGGATCCATGTAGGGGAGTTGGAAAACCCTGATTTCAAACTAATAGTGCACATGGGCTCCAGGGTCCTGGTCACCGGTTACTACGGGACTGCATCTCCTGACGTTGTTCCACTGCCGTGTGGATCAGACCTTTAGGTCGAAGGCTCCGTATGTGGCTCCGTAAATAAACCACCTGCTTCGGTTTGTGCACCAGGGCAGTATCATAGCCCACACAGATTAAGTGAGTTGTGTGGTGCATATGTACTCGGGGCCCCTTCGTACGAATATTTATGTGTTCAAATAAATAAAATAAACAACAGTTACACTATGATATTCAGGTTCATATATTAAATGAAGCAACAACAAAAGATGATCAAAAAGTGGCTAAATATAATAAAATTTATTGTACATTGAAGATAATGTGAATAATCATAGTTCCTCCATCAAAATTATCCATGAAGTTTCGTGTTTCTATTAATTTCTCATAAAAATCCAACAATCGATTTTAATCGGGTCGTATATATTGTGAAACTCATGAATCAACGAGACTATAATTTATGGACGTATCAATCAGATTTAGGATAACAGATTTTGCATTTTGGCGCGAAATTCATTCACTTATTTGTCTGTACAGTATTTTGGCATTTTAGCTGATGTCAGTTCATCTAATTCTTAACCCTAACCATCAGCTGTAAATCACAATCCTACAGGTTTATAACACTCATTTAGTCCTAGTACGTTGGTGGAAGTTTCCTAGGTCACTTTAGTGTCGCTTGAAAGTCGTCCATAAATTATAGTTCCACTCATTAATAATTTTGTCTTTGAATATCCACGTTATATAATAATCGATATTGTTTTTTCTACTCTGAAAATCAATTATATACAGGTTGATGCAATTGCCAATCCAGAATTGACCAAAACTACTGTCTCCAATTCTTATTGTTTAGATTTTGATACAATTGATACGAATTGGGAAACATTGAAAAATGAATATACAAGTATAAACAGTATTGATATAGCAAACGCTTTGATAACATGTGGTTATGATGAAAAACAAGCAATGGATTTTATGATGAAATCGTATTCTAATAATAATGGTAATACAATTGATAACAGTCTACTATTGGAGCATGGAGAAAATGAAGCGAACGAGCAAAAGGCTATGATTTTCATAAATAATTTGTTTAAATTCCGTTCAACTATTCAATATCAAATTGGTCGAAACGTTTAAGAAGAATTGTTGTCATTGTAGTATTCTTTCCCTCCAAAAAAAGAGAACAAACTTTGACTTCAAATGGTGTAATGTATAACATTTTCTTCATATTTGAGAAACGTACATTATTAGCATAATTCATTTTCTTTGCTTTATCAACACGGTGATAATTCACGCTTCCTACGTCTATATGATGTGATTACAATTAACTTGGTATTTATGTATCTGTGTGTTAGGGGCGCCAGGGTGATTAATTCGAATTTCGCCATATTTAATAAGCTTGTATTAATAGTTGTTCTTTTTTATTCCTCATCTTTGTATTAAACCTATTTGCTGTTCTCGTCTTTTCGTTTATGTTTGTACATATGTTCATCTGTACTACTGTACCGTTGATGAATATATAAATTCGATAGGCAAATATATGCATACATTTGACAATAAATGATAGGTTTTCTTTCTTTCTGGATATCGGTTGTTATATTTTTTTAGAATGAAGAAACGACCTTTCTTTGTCAATGAGATGATTTGATATAGGATCATTAGACTGTATACTAGAAATTAGACTGGTCACTAACTCGATCGATAATCCAGATAGTACGTCATGATACTAGACCAATGTCATACGCAGATTTAGTTCTAAACTACCCAACTCACGACTAAGAATAAAATATAAGCAAAAACAAACAAAAAAGATAAGCAGCCAACACAGTGAACTCTCAGTGGAATCGCCTAGACTATAATTTAGGGACGAACCAATGAAATCAAAAACAGTAAGTCTTGTAGTTTGGCGCGAAATTTATTCATTCATATAGTTAAATACCATTTTGGTATTAGACCTGATATTCTAAGTACTCAAAACACTATAATTAAAATATTATGGACGATTGACACATTATGATTAGCTATACATCATTGAAAAGTAATATTCTTATTGAGAAAATTAAAAATGAAATAGGTTTAGTGTTGATGACCACAGCGACCTTAGAGCTCAAGGAGAAACTACTTCAGATTAATTACATACTATTCTTTCATGCATATCCTGTTTCAGATTTCGTTATCTTAATTCTAAACCTTTTGAACCTTACTGTGTGAAATAAAAATCATTGAAATACAGATGTGTATATGTAGGTGTGCGTCATTTTTATGATCAAGTTTTTCCTAATTTCTCCTTTACTCTATAGGAAATAAATTTTGTTTTCAGTGGATACATGTTCAGAAACACCAGTTCATTCAGTATTACAACTCTCTACTCTAAAATTTGACAATTTTACTCATACTGTAAACTACAATCATCTGCTCCGAATGTGATGAGTTTTTTTCTAAAGTGTATATATATATATATATATATATATATATATATATATATATATATAACCAATATAGCTACCTAGAATTGTTACAGTGTAGGTTAGGGTATAAGTACTATCAAAATATCAATCAAATGTTCAATATTCAACTATATTGAAAATGTATACAACAATTTGACACTGTTTACCGAATAATAATTCCTCCTTCAACAATAAAAATCACCATAAAGTAACTTACCATTACACAAACATCAATGTCATTTACAAGAATAAGAAACAAATTTTCTTAAAAGGCAAAAATATTTGTGCAATTAATAAAAAGATTGGTTAAGTATTACTGATAATAATAATAATAATAGTAGTAATGAAAGTATAGTGAGAAACCTTGATGAAGAAAGGATACGTTGAGTGCTTCTTGTTCTAGAAAAATGATCTTCTATTATTTGTATATATATGAATGTAATTTTGTATAAATATATATCGGTATATTTGTATCTGGTATGTATGTCTGTGTGAAAGTGTACTTGAATGTGTGTATGAAAGTGAATTTGTGCGTAATTTGGATAAGTGTTAAGTGTGCACATATATATCTATGTATATACGTACACGTGTGTGTGAGAGTGCGTATATATTCATATATATGTATGTATCACCGAGACACAAACACAAAATAATAATAATCTCAAATTAAAATAAAGAAAAACAGTGCATACTACTTTTAGAAATTCCTTTTTTTTGTACAAGTTATGTAAACACTGGGCTCTTCTTTGTCAAGGAACCAAGATACAAAGAAACACACCCACACATCATTTTTTTTCTATTAAAAAAGGGGGGACAATTATTGAACTACACAAATAAGTAAATAATAAGTAAGTAAATAATCTGTGTTTTTCATTATAGAAACAATAAACAAATGATGAGATCTGAGCAACAAGAAAGTAAAAGAGAGAAAAGAAACAAACTCTAAAAATTGAACAGCACCGAAAAGTAAATAAACACACATACACACACACAACAACAACATTGGAATGGAATAAAAGTTTCTTTAATAAAAATGATACAAATAGTAGGTTGATAAAAACACATATCTATCTACATACAAACACATACACAATCTTATTTATTTGTCGGGATCAGAACAAAATTGATTATGGTATACTTTGTAATTTCTCTTTTAATTCAATATTCTCTGTCATTAATTGTTCACACATGAATTTCAATCGATTAACTGTTTGTAAATTCACACTGGATAATGATGTTGACGCTGATGTCAGTGTTGATGAGTCCGATGTTGAAGTGAGATTTCTTAAGAATGGAAACCATGTCGTTGAATTAGGGAAATTTGATGATGATGACGATGATGAAGATGGAGTAGTTGCAGACGTATATGGTGAAATACTTGACGGAACTGATCGATACTGACTTGAAGATACTGCTGAAGTTGGTATTGAAGTAGTAGTAGTAGTAGTAGTAGCAGTGACAGTGTCATTGTTACCATGATAAATTAATGGAGATTGAAGATAATTATCTAATCCCTTTTGTATAACTTTGCTTTTAGCCATTAAATCTGCTTCCAAACGTTTTTTACATCTTCGAAGAGTACAATTTTCTTCTTGAACTTCTGACATTCGATCGATTATAGCCTGGTAAAAATTATTATTATACATAAATATATGATTAAAGAATATATAAATGGTAAGATGATGCTACTGATAGACTTTAAAATATACAAGTGTATTCTACATATTCCAGTTATCATTTGCCTCAACAAGTAATTATGACATGAAAATATCTTTTATACGATATCTTGCAAAAATACGTACCGATTTGTTTGAAAAATACTCATCTTCAAAGTCTCTAGAAACTCAGAAACGCCGGTAAATATTTTATGCAATTAAAAGTCGAAAAATATCCAGAATCACAGTGCCACTGTTTTGATTAGATATTTACCTATATGCTGTTACAGATATTTTCAGAAGTCTAAGGTCCTGTTTAACTCTATAGGTACCCTTGTTTTTTAGTGTTGTACGGAAACTAACTTTTAGAGAAAGGTTTTATTCTCAATACATGCCTCTTCTTTATTGTTCTAATTGGCTTATAGAAATAGTTGAGATTATAGGGACCGGCTATGAAGATAGCTTATTACAATTCGAAGTACCAAACTCAACAACAACAGGATTATTATTATTTCAACACATAAATATTGGTACAAGAGGGCACCAAATATATATGTGCCACACCATATTTGTGTGTGTGGGTTGTGGTTCTGCCCGGGTGCCCAGACCGAAGCAGGTGGTTTTCTTAGGGGGCCACACCCCGAGCCTTTGACCTAAAGATCTGATCCACAAGGCAGTGGAGCATCGTGAGGAAATGCATTACCATGGTAGCCGGTGACCAATGATTGGTTCATACGCCATTTGTTCCTCCAGGATACTGGATCCAGCCCATGTGCACCATTTGGTTTGGAATCCGGTTAAAGCGCCGGACATTCGCTTTTCGTCCTCTCATTTTCGTAAACAACACCCCCGCCTCGAGAAGGCAATGAGTAGGACGTCCCTGGCAGAGGCTGTATACGCGTGGCCGTGTGGGAGCATTTCGAGAGGAAGGGCAGGCCCACCCCACTCTCGGCCATACCAGGGCATTTGGGGGCAGGCAGATTAATAATACATCAAGATCGAAGAAAGCAAAAACACTTATAAAAAATTATAATGTATGTAATTTATTTTATTAAAGAAAACAAAAAACAGATGATCGATAAAAATTACGTAACCAATTGTTCGGTTATAAGGTCGCACACCGTTAGTAAATATGACGATTTAATAAATCCACTTGGGACTTTTAACCTCAATCAAATTGTAATCATAACACATGATCAATCAACTAAAATTGTACTCATTATTTTCTTAATCAAAACAATGTTTATGGTGAGAAAGTCGCAACCACCCAAAATACCCCAACCTAAAGAAACATTAGCATGATCAACTTTGTTTTGAATTGTTACCTTAACAAACAAATGAAAAAACACATGATTAAGATTAGACATTAACATCGCTGGATGCCAGCCGGTCCAGTGACCTAGAGATTATGTGGTCGCGCACGTGACCGAAGGTCCTGGGTTAAACTATCACATGAGCGTTGCTGAGCAGTTCCATACCAGGACGAAACGACCGTTCAGTGCTTCTAGGTTTTTAATGATAGTTTGACTTAGATCAGTTCATGATTTCACCGAAATTCAACAAACTGCACAACCCTACACTGAAAAAAACGTCAGGAGATGCAGTTCCATGGTAACCGGTGACCGATAATTGGTTCATACGCCATCTCTTCCCTCAAGATCCTGGAGCCCATGTACACCATTGGTTTGAAATCAGGGTTTTCTAACTCCCCTAAATGGATCCTCTATATACACCAACCCAGTTAAAGCGTCGAACATTCGCTTTTGATCTTCTCAATTTCGTAAACAACACCGGTGGCACGAGAAGGCAATGAGTAGAACTTCCCTGACAGTGGCTGTATACGCGTTGTAGTGAACAGAACACGATTGGGGACAACCGAATGTATTTAGCACAAAATTACAGAGTTACTTGGTAAAATAAAAAAACCATATAGTAAATCGTTAATTTGCAAAATATCATTCCATCATATCAAACCGGACTGTTGCCGTTGCAAACATCAATCCATTGTCTCACATTTCACCATTCATGCGGTTTTTTATAAATTCCATTGTGTTCTCGCTCTTCCTTTCTTGATCTCCCATCTTCCACTGCCAGACATTACGTTCTTTAACTCGCTTTATATACTACTTATAAGAATATAAGTAGCACGCACCACAGCGTGACCATTTGAAAGCATTTCGAGAGAAAGAGCTAACTCTCAGCCTTTCCAAGGGCATTTGTAGGAGAGTCCTCTAAACATTGCATGTCAGATTGACCCAAATAGGCAGGGCGACACTACAGTAAAACAACTATGAAAAGTTCCTGGATTCTCCACCAGTTCGTTACGTAGAATGTTTTCTTGTTAGAAAAAAAAACAAGATGAGAATACAAAAGAAAATATATTCTATTTTTTACTTACTTTAAAATCAGCTGTTGAAAAAAATCCTGGAGGCATTTCATGAAACGTTGTATTT